ACCTAATGAATGGATGAGATGAATAGGGAATAGGTGTGGGTATAAGGAACCGGGTACAGTTTGACCAATTCTATGGGAAAGACTGCATAAGGTATGGAAAAAAATATATATATTTTTATGGTACATTTGGATCTTAGCCCGAATATGAGTTTCATACGTTAGTCCCTGTGAACGACCAGCTGGTCGGATCTTTAATCCCCCAACAATAGACGGGAGAGGGCGCGTGCCAAGTCAGCGCACTAGTATTGTTACGAAGTTAATCCGATCGATACAAAAAGTAATTGGATTTCCGAATGCTCGAAAGCAGAAAGCAGCGATAGATGGCAAAAAATGAACTTTGCGTTGATCAGACTGAAACGAGTACGATTGTCTATTTGAAGAATTATTTTAAAGTCATTTTTATTGGGTTTATGGGTATTGTGCAACGTTGCGTTTTCCAAGGTATAAACAAACACTCACCGCAGCATACTTGCAGTGTACAGCCTGTGTCGGCCATGGGGGTATTTTATGATAAATCCACGATCCATAATCCATGCGTCTGTACGGAGACCGGTGGTCGATCACCCCTCGATGATCGCACCGATCCTGGAGCAAATAAATAACTCCGTCCGTGCGCCTATATTCCTCTTGTTAATCGATACAATACCAATGGCACTCTTCTACACTGCCACCAGAATCATCCAAGTAAAAATATATGTCTGTGTGCGGTGATCGTAGAAAAGGGAAGGTTTTGGCATCAGCCAGAGCAAATGCTAGTACACATGCACACTACTGTATACATTACGGCCGTCCGATCAGATAGCGCTCAAGTTTTCTTAAACCGTGACGGCTAAATTATCGATTAGGCTCTATAGTCAGCAGATGCGCGTACAATAAGGAATGGATTCAGTGGTTTAAAGCCATAACAAAACGTGCTGGCGTGTGGTTTTTAAAGGGAACTACGGCCTGGAAAGTGCCCGATTGAGTGTATCGGAATAACACAACCATCATTGTGCATTTTGTAATATTTCGTACAAGAACGACCCCAAAACCAAGCTAAAGCCTATCCATAGTTAAAAATTCAGTCGTAACGTGGTAAAAATGGTGCCCCTTTAACGCTGTCTGTATAGGAATGCACCGAACCCTAGTTGTACCTCCGTGCCGGATTTGTTTACAAAATCGAGGATGACTGGGTTTTATCTACGACCATTTTACGGGGGTTATTTAGAGGGCGTGTTCAAGCAATAATTTTATGACTGAGAGTAGGCTTTTCCAACTGATAAGACAACACAAACAAAGAAAAATACAACTGCAGAAAGTACATACGATATGACATTATTGCTTTATTGACGTCATTTTTCAGTAAAACATCATTCTACTCTTTTCCCTGCTCATCCTGCTCTTTTCCCTGCTCATCCTGCTTTTTTCCCTGCTCATCCTGCTCTTTTCCCTGCTCATCCTGCTCTTTTCCCTGCTCATCCTGCTCTTTACCCTGCTCATCCTGCTCTTTACCCTACTCATCCTGCTCTTTTCCCTGCTCATCCTGCTCTTTTCCCTGCTCATCCTGCTCTTTACCCTACTCATCCTGCTCTTTTCCCTGCTCATCCTGCTCTTTTCCCTGCTCATCCTGCTCTTTTCCCTGCGCATCCTGCTCTTTACCCTGCTCATCCTGCTCTTTTCCCTGCTCATCCTGCTCTTTTCCCTGCTCATCCTGCTCTTTTCCCTGCTCATCCTGCTCTTTACCCTGCTCATCCTGCTTTTTACCCTACTCATCCTGCTCTTTTCCCTGCTCATCCTGCTCTTTTCCCTGCTCATCCTGCTCTTTTCCCTGCTCATCCTGCTCTTTTCCCTGCTCATCCTGCTCTTTTCCCTGCTCATCCTGCTCTTTTCCCTGCTCATCCTGCTCTTTTCCCTGCGCATCCTGCTCTTTTCCCTGCTCATCCTGCTCTTTTCCCTGCTCATCCTGCTCTTTTCCCTGCTCATCCTGCTCTTTTCCCTGCTCATCCTGCTCTTTGCCCTGCTCATCCTGCTCTACGGCATAGAGCAGGATGAGCAGGGAAAAGAGCAGGATGAGCAGGGAAAAGAGCAGGATGAGCAGGGAAAAGAGCAGGATGAGCAGGGAAAAGAGCAGGATGAGCAGGGAAAAGAGCAGGATGCGCAGGGAAAAGAGCAGGATGAGCAGGGAAAAGAGCAGGATGAGCAGGGAAAAGAGCAGGATGAGCAGGGAAAAGAGCAGGATGAGCAGGGAAAAGAGCAGGATGAGCAGGGAAAAGAGCAGGATGAGCAGGGAAAAGAGCAGGATGAGTAGGGTAAAAAGCAGGATGAGCAGGGTAAAGAGCAGGATGAGCAGGGAAAAGAGCAGGATGAGCAGGGAAAAGAGCAGGATGAGCAGGGAAAAGAGCAGGATGAGCAGGGTAAAGAGCAGGATGCGCAGGGAAAAGAGCAGGATGAGCAGGGAAAAGAGCAGGATGAGCAGGGAAAAGAGCAGGATGAGTAGGGTAAAGAGCAGGATGAGCAGGGAAAAGAGCAGGATGAGCAGGGAAAAGAGCAGGATGAGTAGGGTAAAGAGCAGGATGAGCAGGGTAAAGAGCAGGATGAGCAGGGAAAGAGCAGGATGAGCAGGGAAAAGAGCAGGATGAGCAGGGAAAAAAGCAGGATGAGCAGGGAAAAGAGCAGGATGAGCAGGGAAAAGAGTAGAATGATGTTTTACTGAAAAATGACGTCAATAAAGCAATAATGTCATATCGTATGTACTTTCTGCAGTTGTATTTTTCTTTGTTTGTGTTGTCTTATCAGTTGGAAAAGCCTACTCTCAGTCATAAAATTATTGCTTGAACACGCCCTCTAAATAACCCCCGTAAAATGGTCGTAGATAAAACCCAGTCATCCTCGATTTTGTAAACAAATCCGGCACGGAGGTACAACTAGGGTTCGGTGCATTCCTATACAGACAGCGTTAAAGGGGCACCATTTTTACCACGTTACGACTGAATTTTTAACTATGGATAGGCTTTAGCTTGGTTTTGGGGTCGTTCTTGTACGAAATATTACAAAATGCACAATGATGGTTGTGTTATTCCGATACACTCAATCGGGCACTTTCCAGGCCGTAGTTCCCTTTAAAAACCACACGCCAGCACGTTTTGTTATGGCTTTAAACCACTGAATCCATTCCTTATTGTACGCGCATCTGCTGACTATAGAGCCTAATCGATAATTTAGCCGTCACGGTTTAAGAAAACTTGAGCGCTATCTGATCGGACGGCCGTAATGTATACAGTAGTGTGCATGTGTACTAGCATTTGCTCTGGCTGATGCCAAAACCTTCCCTTTTCTACGATCACCGCACACAGACATATATTTTTACTTGGATGATTCTGGTGGCAGTGTAGAAGAGTGCCATTGGTATTGTATCGATTAACAAGAGGAATATAGGCGCACGGACGGAGTTATTTATTTGCTCCAGGATCGGTGCGATCATCGAGGGGTGATCGACCACCGGTCTCCGTACAGACGCATGGATTATGGATCGTGGATTTATCATAAAATACCCCCATGGCCGACACAGGCTGTACACTGCAAGTATGCTGCGGTGAGTGTTTGTTTGTACCTTGGAAAACGCAACGTTGCACAATACCCATAAACCCAATAAAAATGACTTTAAAATAATTCTTCAAATAGACAATCGTACTCGTTTCAGTCTGATCAACGCAAAGTTCATTTTTTGCCATCTATCGCTGCTTTCTGCTTTCGAGCATTCGGAAATCCAATTACTTTTTGTATCGATCGGATTAACTTCGTAACAATACTAGTGCGCTGACTTGGCACGCGCCCTCTCCCGTCTATTGTTGGGGGATTAAAGATCCGACCAGCTGGTTGTTCACAGGGACTAACGTATGAAACTCATATTCGGGCTAAGATCCAAATGTACCATAAAAATATATATATTTTTTTCCATACCTTATGCAGTCTTTCCCATAGAATTGGTCAAACTGTACCCGGTTCCTTATACCCACACCTATTCCCTATTCATCTCATCCATTCATTAGGTCAAACTGTGCCCGGAATTTCATAACCCCATTCATTTATATTTATATCTACATATTTCCATATTTACATATTTATGTGACCTTTACATATTTCTATGCCAAAGGTCAAACCGTACTAAGAAGTCTACCTCCACTACTAACATGAAATTTCACTACAAATAGACATCTGAAAAAGGCAGCACTTTCTGATTAGCCTATAAAGAGGGTGAGTATGCTTTTTAAGCAAAAATAAACTACAAACTAAGCCTAAATGTGAAAATCCAAATTTGACAAAGTTCGACATGTTTTTGTACATGGTGGGAGTGCGGCCTTTATTTACTGAGGTAGTCCAGTAAATTGGCCACATTTATGGGGTTACTTCAGGCTGGCTTCTCTCTCAGGTGAAAAATGTTGAACAGAATTCTCATAACCCCCCTAGGCCTTTTTGCTAGGATGTAGCCTCAATCCTGCAAAATCCTCCAACTGGCCTCATGGAAAAATAGCATAAAGCCTCAATCCTGCAAATTCCTCCATTATTTCTTGAATATGGTCCATGGAGGGATGACCACTGCCTGAATCCTGCAAAATCCTCCGGTTATGTCTGTCAATAGGCTGAGGCAGAGGCAGCGACATCCTGGAGCAGTGCGGAGGATGTCAAGTATAATCAAGGACTAAATTTATGCACGGCTGAGCATAAACAACACAAGGTCCGGCCCAAGACCTTGACACAGTGCGTACTCCGAAATCAGCAACGCACTTTTGCCATATAACCTCAATCCTGCAAATTCCTCCAATTTGCAAAAAGGATTTTGGAGGATTCAGGGCGGTTAGGGTTAAAAATTGAATTGAGACCTCAAACTGGGCTGATTGAGGACCTGAAAAGTTTGCGAATTTTTCAGCTAAATAGAGAGTGAAGCGGACCCGATTTCTTTGCATGTTTTTCTGCACTGAATGTCCCAGTCTGAGACGATACATGGTTTTAATTTAACTCAGTGTTTTCTTTTAACAGATTTTAAACTCTGGTAAGCTGTGATTGTGGCCGTTGGGACATTTGAAGTAAAGAACAAACAACAGTATGACAGGACTGGTGAGTTTTGTTTGTTTTGTCGGGATGATTGAAAAACATTTTTTCAAAGGGCTATAAACCTAATTTTGGAATGTATAATATACGTGCTTTAACAAAATTTCGATTTTTTTTTTTTTCCCGAACAAAATTTAAAGAAATATAATGTCCTGTGACAAATTGTTTGTATTTGCAGGCCTTTATACTGACATTTTAAAAAGTGGTTTTCAACGTTCCAGCTTGTCATGGGCTGATTTTTCGTGCGATGTCTCATTGGAAAGCTCATAACTAATGTAATGCTAGAAAAATATCAATTCAATTTGAAAATCTATTTTTCAAGGTGCCACACCCAAAAAGCATACATCTTTAACACTTAATTCTCTTTGCGGCATCCGCGTCCGTACTTTTCCCTGATTGGGCGATTTCCAGAACTTACTATTACGAATTGTACTACTGGATGTCGTGGTGCGCGTGACGTGCTGAACAGCCTGAGCACCAATGTCATCATCTTTACCAAAAAGGGTTCTTTGACAGACCGCATGCATGGTACATGAAAATCATTTTCAGGCCAACATAAATCACATTTAATACAAGGACTGATGACTGAGTGGCACATTTCTACCCCTCTCTAAACCTCGATGGGGATGTTAATAAGAAAACTCTTTGCGAAATAGTAAACCGTTTTCAAAGGGAATATGTGCGACGCAAAAGAGAGATGCTTCTCGTGTGTCTGAAGTCAAATGTATGTTTTTGGTGTGTGTTTTTTCTCACAGAAAGGAGCCTTCCTGTTGATTATAGCAATTGCTCTTGCTATGCAAGGGTATCTTCTACTGGCGTTTGTTATTCCAAAGATCCAGTCTCAAATCTTGAGACGTACAACATCAGAAAATGCCATCATGATGAGCAACATCACTCGCTTAGAAGGGCTGCTCTACAGATCAGGGCTTACGAAGAACGTGCACAGCAACACTTCAATGCCTCGTGATGTTGGAAAGTCCAGAAATATGCCGCACCCGCCGGGCCAGTGTTATCACAGAGTCCAGGTGTACAACAAGAATGGCATTCTCACTGAGAAAAGACCAACACTCAAAAACATCGTTGATCAATCAAAACTTGAAGGAAGAACAGACATCAGAGCCAATGTGACCTGTCCAAAAGAGTGCACGGTGGAGATCACGATTGCCGGCGATGAGGACAGGTTTGCAGGAATGGACGCCGTGGTCTTTCACCTCATGAAGGACCTCATGCCAAACCCCCTGCCCCCAGCCAACCTGAACCCTGATCAGACATGGGTCTACTTCTCCTGGGAATCTCCGTGGTCCAACGCCAAAGAGAGCGGGAGCATCGCCAATTTACCGGTCCACGCCGTGTGGACGTACTACAGAGGGTCCGACATCCCTTTTCCTTACGGGTATTACGACGCCGGGACACCCATGGCGAAGGAGACGAAATCGGTGGACGAGTGGTTGCAGGGGAAGACCAAGCTCGTGGCCTGGATGGCAAGTAACTGCAAAACCACCTCCTGGCCGAGAAGGAACTTCGTCCGCAAACTCAAGAAATACATCCGGGTCGACATGTACGGGGCTTGCGGGAATCTCAAGTGTATGCCGAGTTGGTCGACTAAATGCACGGTGGACCTGATGCGTCAGTACAAGTTTTATCTGGCCTTGGAGAATGCGGAGTGCGATGACTACATCACCGAGAAATTGTGGAACAAGCCCCTGATGCAAGGGGTGGTCCCCATCGTGTATGGACCCACGCGGAAGGCCTACGAGGAGTTACTGCCTCCCAATTCGTTCATTTACATCGGCGATTATAAAAGCATGTCCGAGCTGGCAAATTATTTGAAACTCTTGGACTCCAAACCCGAACTGTACGTCGAGTACTTGAAATGGCAGTACCAAGGTAGTGTCCGGGTGAACCAGGTAATGCACGAACCGTACGACCCGTCCGCGTTTTGCGATTTGATTCCTGTCATCGACAAAGTGAAAAGAGGCGAGTTGAAACGGACCCCCGTGAGTAAAAGCAGCTTTCCAAAAACATGTAGAAGGCGGGACCGAAGTAAGACGTCAGCTTTCGGACTCGGAAAGTGGAATCCTTGGTAAAGTGAGTTTTCGTATTTGGGCCTTCACATCCCTTCGACGAGATGTTGCATTGATAGGCCAATTAAAACAATAATATGTTATAAACAATTTGCCTGAGTGAACATTTTGTACTTTAGATAAAGGTTGTATTATTTTGTTCAATGACGCATGGATTTAATGTCCTGCAACTCATTTGAAGACTCGCATTATGGTTTATTTAGTTTTGTATTTTATACCCGTATATTTTTAATCAATTTATGTATTTGAAAGGAAAGGTTTAAATAATAAAATAATCATAACCTGGAAACAAACTGCTATAAAACTCACGGTGGTTCTGGTATATCTGTTGACAAATACATTTCATTTATCTGATGCGAGTATTCTTCATTAATCAAAAACTGTCGTCCACAAGATGGCGCTCTTGCAGATTGGTACTTTTTTTATTTCCCCAAAGATCTTTTAATTTAGATTTGAGTGTTTTGACAAGAACGTTATGCAGTCTGCGGATACTCGACAAACGGCTGTGCATTTTCTTAAATTATAAAACCTTCTCTTGTTGCATAACTGGCTATTTAATAGAACTGGTCCATCGTAGGGTTAAGCTGAAAAAAACTACGTTCTATTCAAACCATTATAGACCCTAACAAAACTGATTATTCAATGTGTGCATTGACGAAATGCTGACGGAACTTCCGTTAAGCCGCCAGGGCGTGGGGGGGGGGGGGGGACACGAGGCGAGGACAAATTATGCCGACAGACCATCTGTGCCACTAGTCCGTTGAAAAACAGAACAAGTGTGACGTGAGTGTGCAATAAGCTCTGGCCGTCTTGCATGAAATTCTTGCATGAAATCGATCAAAATGATGCCTGCCACTGAGCTGAAAAAAAAATGGCCGGTACCATCTTTCAATGAGGGCGCTGTTCAAAGCGGACGATCATACACACTATCGAACAATATGGGTACACACCGGTAAATCGATCCGCCAAGCTCATGAATAAAAGTTATACCCTCAAAATATTCTATATTAGAGAGTTCTGAGCGCCGTAAAATTGGGGAATTGAAGAGATATGGTAGTGAACCTCTAGCCCGGACTTGGGGCTTCCAATTCTGAGCATTTTGGATGCTATTGGGCTCGAAAGTGGCGCTATTTTGCCATGTTGTGGAGGGATCGTTTTTCAAGATGGCTACTTTTCCGCTTTGGGGAAAACAGGGGTCGTCTTCTTTGCGTGAAAATATCTCGAAAAGTCAATGGTCAACCCACCATAAATTGAAAAGAAAATGAAAGATGACACATTGATCATCATTTTTCTGTGCAGCTTGAGTACCTGTGAGAGTTTTGAGTATTTTTAAAAGAATTTGAAGTACGGGCATTTAGCACTAGTGTCTATGGGAGTTTATTTGCAGGTATGCACCCATATAGGAGTTTTTCCAGAAGGCACACGCGCGAAATTTCCAAAGGCACTCGTTACAGCCGCTATAGTTACAAATAGGCACTCATTTGTTTTGGAAACCGGGCACTTGTTTAAAAAAAAACGCTGGGGGGGAGGGGGGGTAAATAAGAGCAGTTAAATGGAAAAAGGGCAGTCTTAACAAAATATTGGGGTTGGGGGAGTAAATACCTCCTTACCCCTTCCCAAAATGGTGAATAAACAATTTAAGGCCTGCATTTTTTTTTTGAATTCTAGTTGCTCTGTTGTGCGATCTGAGGCAATTTCTGATTACTTTAACAATTCTTTTTTTCAGCGAAAGATGATTATCTATGCAGTGGCTGTTTTCGTGGCGACGTCACAAATTGTGTATGGTTTGTTTATGGTGTAAATCGAGGACACACAATGGGAAGCATCATCGAGTAATTAAGGACAGGAGTCAAATAGAGGACTACCTCGATTACAAGGGCGGATCCAGAACACAATTTTTTGGGGCGCAAAAAAAAAATTTTGGTCTCCAAAAAGTGGGTCAAAAAATAATGGCGTGGGGTTCGGGGCCCGCTTAAGGGCCCCGAAAAATTTTTGGATTCTAGATGCTCTGTGGTGCGATCTGAGGCAATTTCTGACCACTTTAACCAATTTTTTTTGAGGAAAAGATGGTGGTGTACTCATTGCCTGCCTTTATTGCGATGTCACATAAAAAAAAAAAATTGGTTTCGTTTTGAGGGGGGGGGGCATGGCCCCCTTTGGCCCCCCCCCCCCGGATCCACCCTTGCTCGATTAGAAAACGTGTGCAAAACCAATGGGAGCTGTTGCAAAAAGTTAAAAGTAAATTAGAATAGATTGATGATAAGGAACAATAGAACATTCTCGATTTGCACCATGAACAAACCTGTGGGGGGGGGGGGGGGGGGGGGGGGGGGTGGAATCCATCTTTGTATGGGGCGCCGTGTCTATCCGACATTAAAGGCAGAGCTCTTCAGAGCGGCACAATTAAAGACGTGAAAAAGGCCATCATTCAGTTCCCAAGGGAAATGCTTCCTGAATAGTACTTAGATAGATTAATCAATTTAAACAAGTTTTAAACAATACATGTACTTTTATAACATTTTAAACGTTTTTGATAGTTCCGTGGACTCCAACATTTAGGACTTTTTTTTAATATGTATGAATGTATGACTTTAAACGTATGTTTTAATAACATTATTAAAGCATAAATGAATGTGATAAGATAATAATAACCAGAAGACCAAAATGTCTTTCAGGGTTTACAATATTGTTGAATAAACTTGAAGGACTCATTAGCATTTTACAAAAAAGAAATCTAAAGAAATTCATAATAGCTCAATCTTGGTGTCGTTATACATTCTCGTTCTCACGCGATTACGCGATGTGAAAACAAACGTGCACGAACAAGGAGACCTAGGAACGAAAATGCCGGATGTGAAAGGTTGTAAATGAAATTTGTCTTTACCCATCTCCAAGTGATTTTATTTTTCATTTTTTTTGGTAAAAATATCAAGATAAAATTCCAAAATAACGTTTTTCAGGGTGGTTACAGTCAGAAAACATTCCGTCAAAAACTGTAGCAAGAGAAAGGGCAACCCCTTGTAAAATGCCCATAGACGGACCGAGCGATGGTTCCGGAAGTAGTGAGCCGTGTGACCTTTAACCTTTTACTTTCGGGCTCTATTCAACACTAAGCAAAATAAAAATTATAATCATAAAATTCGGTGTATAGTAATTCCAATAATATGTATCAGTTAGTTACTAGTTTACTTTAATGATTAAAACAAGACATTTATCCAATTTTTTTTATATTTTGCTGTAATATAAAATGGGCTCAAAGCATCATATGGTGTCGGGCGTAGTCGACACTGAATTGATTTGTCAGTTTAATTAATAATAATTTGGCTAAAAGTAGCAGCTGAGCTGTCTGACATTGTTAGAAATAAACTTTATTTTTGCAAGATACAAATAATAAGCTTCAAAACGATATACATGTTTCATTTTGTGGCATTTGGATTTTTTGAAGTTTTGGCATTTAGGTCGCTACCCCACACACCATCGAACATGTCAACATTACAGTTTTTCCCACATGTGCTTAGTCTAGCGCCCTCTTTCGTCGTTGACAACTTAATGGGCGTTAGGAGAGGTTCGCACCCACCGCCGCCCTAAACATGTCAACAATAACAGGGCGCTGGGAAGGTTCCAATCAGTGGCGTAGCCAGAGGGGGAGGGCAGAGGGGGCACTTTGCCCCGCTGGTGGATTTTTTTGACAATGTTTTTTTCAGCAAATATTTTAATCAATGGTTGGAGAGTTCTGACATCAATCCAAACAGGAAAACCCGCTCAATGCGCCGTGACAATGGGCATATAATTTGCACTATGCATAATACTGGTCAGTTTTGAAGAGCGCCCCAATTTGGGAGATGGGAACCAGCACCCCCCCCCCCCCCCCATTTCGATCAACGACTGGAAAAATGTGCCATGGACCCGGCGTCCTATCCTAGGTGGATATATTCTCAACCCGGTGACTCAAAGAAGATGACCAAGCTTTGAAATTGAATGTCAAATCACTGAATTGGTTTTCTTAAAAGCGTGTGACATTTTTCGTGGACGAAATTGAATGAAAGAGTTGCTGAATTTGAATGAAAAATCTGTTCTGAATTTGAACGTAAAATCAATTATTAAATATTCATTGCATATTTGTTGCAACTTTCACTCGGGAGGTAAACACACTGAGTCCATACAGTGTTCATTCGTCGATGAAGGGCAAAACTACTATTGAATCACCCCGGTGCAAATTCCATCTTACGAATGACATGTTTACCCATGATAGTGAGCCATTGTATCGCCTCCATTCATCTCAGCCTACAGATCTTTTGATATGTTAAAATCGGATAATGTCCTTAAGATCCTGTGTCCATGGAGGGTGGCGCAGTCAAACGGACAATAACGTGGCCACGAGATCTCTCTACTGTTCTTACATAACAGGCATGGGCCAGTAATTCGCGTTTGTGTAGCATCTGTGTTGCACTCTAGTCTGTACGACCATGGAGGTAGAAAGTAAGCTAGATGAGACGAGTTCACATTACTTGTTTGCAACTAATATAGGTTGATATTGGAAACAGACCTAAACCTTTCACCTGGCAAAACAACAGAGCTTCACAACTATATAAAGGTGAGAGTAAAATGATTTCAAGTTGGCAAGACAGTGGTTGACGAAGACAAGGCTCTAGACAGGGTCTGCCGTATTCCGAAAATCATGTACATGTACTCCCAAAAGTAAAAAACCACTGGCACATGAAACAACCGGTCCAATATCCTGCATCAAAGAAACATCTTTGGAGAGTAGCGGTACTTTTCTCGCCTTCCACCGCTGTGACCCGGGTTCGAATCCTACCTCGGCCAATATGTGAATTGGGTTTTCAGTCCCCACCTGATTCCGTGGGTTTTCCCCCAGAATATTCTTCCTTGCTTTTCATCCTACTTCTTAAACTGTAATTTCTTCTCGTTGTCTTCTCTCTAAGCTGATGCGATGTTTCCCAGGATGATTGCCGATTAGCCTATATGATACAGATTTGGTAGTCTAAAATAAATTGTCATGCCATGAGTCAATCTTTTTAAAAAGTTGGATATGTAATTGTATAGACTTGCAAGGGTTTCAAATTTCGAGTCACATGGCTTCACTCTCAGTGCAAAATGTTGAAGAAAGGTCTCCTTTAAAAATTGAATTGAGACCTCAAACTGGGCTGATTGAGGACCTGAAAATTTTGCGAATTTGTCAGCTAAACAGAGAGTAAAGCTGACTCGATTTTCTTTGCATGTTTTTCTGCACTCCAGGTCCCAGTCTGAGACGATACATGGTTTTAATTTAACTCAGTGTTTTCTTTTAACAGATTTTAAACTCTGGTAAGCTGTGACTGTGGCCGTGGGGACATTTGAAGTAAAGGACAAACAACATTATGACAGGACTGGTGAGTTTTGTTTGTTTTGTCGGGATGATTGAAAAAAAAATTTTCAAAGGGCTATAAACCTAATTTTGGAATGTATAATATACGTGCTTTAACAAAATTTCGAATTTATTTTCCGAACAAAATTGACAGAAATATAATGTCCTGTGAAAAATTGTTTGTATTTGCAGGCCTTTATACTGACATTTTAAAAAGTGGTTTTCAACGTTCCAGATCAGAAATTGCGCACAAATATATTAAAAGTTGAAATTAATCAATTGATTGCTTGTCATGGGCTGATTTTTCGTGCGATGTGTCATTGGAAAGCTCATGACTAATATAATGCTACAAAATATCAATTCAATTTGAAAATCTATTTTTCAAGGTGCCACACCCAAAAACATACATCTTTAACACTTAATTCTCTTTGCGGCATCCGCGTCCGTACTTTTTCCCTGATCGGGCGATTTCCAGAACTTACTATTACGAATTGTACGACTGGATGTCGTGGTGCGCGTGTCGTGCTGACTTGCCTGAGCACCAATGTCATCATCTTTACCAAAAAGGTTCTTTGACAGACCGCATGCATGGTACATGAAAATCATTTTTCAGGCCAACATAAATCACATTTAATACAAGGACTGATGACTGAGTGGCACATTTCTACCCGTCTCTAAACCTCGATGGGGATGTTAATAAGAAAACTCTTTGCGAAATAGTAAACCGTTTTCAAAGGGAATATGTGCGACGCAACAGAAAGATGCTTCTCGTGTGTCTAAAGTCAATTGTTTGTTTTTGGTGTGTTTTTTTTTCTCACAGAAAGGAGCCTTCTTGCTGATTGTAGCAATTGCTCTTGCGGTGCAAGGGTATCTTCTACTGGAGTTTGTTATTCCAAAGATCCAGTCTAAAATCATGAGACGTACAATATCAGAAAATGCCATAATGATGAGCAACATCACTCGCATAGAAGGGCTGCTCTACAGATCAGGGCATATGAAGAACGTGCACAGCAACAATTCAATGCCTCGTGATGTTGGAAAGTCCAGAAATATGCCGCACCCGCCGGGCCAGTGTTATCACAGAGTCCAGGTGTACAACAAGAATGGCGTTCTCACTGAGAAAAGACCAGCACTCAAAAAAACATCGTTGATCAATCAAAACTTGAAGGGAGAACAGACATCAGAGCCAATGTGACCTGTCCAAAAGAGTGCACCGTGGAGATCACGATTGCCGGCGATGAGGACAGGTTTGCAGGAATGGACGCCGTGGTCTTCACTTCATGAAGAGCCTCATCCCGAACCCCCTACCCCCAGCCAACCTGAACCCTGATCAGACATGGGTCTACTTCTCCTGGGAATCTCCGTGGTCCAACGCTAAAGAGAGCGGTAGAATCGCCAAGTTACCGGTCCACGCCGTGTGGACGTACTACAGAGGGTCCGACATCCCTTTTCCTTACGGGTATTACGACGCCGTGACACCCATGGCGAAGGAGACGAAATCGGTGGACGAGTGGTTGCAGGGGAAGACCAAGCTCGTGGCCTGGATGGCAAGTAACTGCGGAACCACCTCCTGGCCGAGAAGGGACTTCGTCCTCGAACTCAAGAAATACATCCCGGTCGACATGTACGGGGCTTGCGGGAATCTCAAGTGTATGCCGAGTTGGTCGACTAAATGCACGGTGGACCTGGTGCGTCAGTACAAGTTTTATCTGTCCTTGGAGAATGCGGAGTGCGATGACTACATCACCGAGAAATTGTGGAACAAGCCCCTGATGCAAGGGGTGGTCCCCATCGTGTATGGACCCACGCGGAAGGCCTACGAGGAGTTACTGCCTCCCAATTCGTTCATTTACATCGGCGATTATAAAAACATGTCCGAGCTGGCAAATTATTTGAAGCTCTTGGACTCCAAACCCGAACTGTACGTCGAGTATTTGAAATGGCAGAACCAAGGTAGTGTCCGGGTGAACCAGGTAATGCACGAACCGTACGACCCGTCCGCGTTTTGCGATTTGATTCCTGTCATCGACAAAGTGAAAAGAGGCGAGTTGAAACGGACCCCCGTGAGTAAAAGCAGCTTTCCAAAAACATGTAGAAAGCCGGACCGAAGTAAGACGTCAGCTTTTGGACTCGGAAAGTGGAATCCTTGGTAAAGTGAGTTTTTCGTATTTGGGCCTACACATCCCTTCGACGAGATGTTGCATTGATAGGCCTATTAAAACAATAATATGTTATAAACAATTTGCCTGAGTGAACATTTTGTACTTTAGATAAAGGTTGTATTATTTTGTTCAATGACGCATGGATTTAATGTCCTTCAACTCATTTGAAGACTCGCATTATGGTTTATTTAGTTTTGTATTTTATACCCGTATATTTTTAATCAATTTATGTATTTGAAAAGGAAAGGTTTAAATAATAAAATAATCATAACCTGGAAACAAACTTCTATAAAACTCACGGTGGTTCTGGTATATCTGTTGACAAATACATTTCATTTATCTGATGCGAGTATTCTTCATTATTCAAAAACTGTCGTCCACTAGATGGCGCTCTTGCAGATTCGCATTTTTTTTATTTCCCCAAACCAAAGATCTTTTAATTTACATTTGAGTGTTTTGACAAAAACGTTATGCAGTCTGCAGATACTCGGCAAACGGCTGTACATGTTCTTAAATATTAAACCCGCATAACTGGCTATTATAGGACTGGTCCATCGTAAGGTTAAGCTAAAAAACTACGTTCTATTCAAACCATTATAGACCCAAACAAAACTGATTATTCAATGTATGCATTGGTGAAATGCTGAGATAACTTCGTCAAGCCCAGGGCGTGGGAGGGGGGGGGGGGTTCCACAACAAATTATGCTGACAGACCATCTGTGCCACCAGTCTGTCGAAAAAACAAGTGTGACGTGAGTGCACAATAAGCTCTGGCCATCTTGCATGAAAGTCTTGCATGAAATAGATCAAAATGATGCCTGCCAGAGCTGGAAAAAATGGCTGGTACCATCTTTCAATGAGGGGGCTGTTCAAAGCGGACGATCATACACACTATCGGACAATACAGGAGTTTTTTTTCAGAGGGCACACGCGCGAAATTTCTAAAGGCGCTGTTACAGCCGCTATTGTTACAAAAAGGCACTCAATATTTTTTTGAAAACAGGGCACTGTTTTTTTTAAAGGGCACTTTAAAAAACAACAACACTCTTTAAAGATATGGGGGGGGGGTTAAATAAGGGCAGTTAAATGGAAAAGGGCAGTCTTTACAAAACATTGGGGGGGGGGGGGAGTAAATCCCCCTTACCCCTTCCCCGAAAAAGTTGATTCAAAAATTTACTGCGTGGTTTTTTTTTTATTCTAGTTGCTCTGTTGTGCGATCTGAGGCAATTTCCGACCACTTTAACAAAAGATGATTTAGCGAAAGATGATGATATATGCAGTGGCTGTTTTTTTTTTTCGTGGCGACGTCACAAATTGTGTATGGGTTTGTTTATGATGTAAATCGAGGACACACAGTGGGAAGCATCATCGAGTAATTGAGGACATGAGTCAAATAGAGGACGACCTCGATTAGAAAACGTGTGCAAAACCAATGGGAGCTGTTGCAAAAAAGTTGAGTAAATTAGAAAACATTGATAATAAGGAACAATAGAACATTCTCGATTTACACCATGAACAAACCCTGGGGGGGGGGGGGGGGGTGGAATCCATCTTTCTATGGGGCGCCGTGACTATCTGACAATATAAGGTATTATAATAGAGCTCTTCAGAGCGGCACAATTAAAGACGCTTGCACGACCTTAAAAAGGGGCCGGGGCACTAAAGTGAAAAAAGGCCATTATTCAGTTCCCAATGGAAATGCTTCCTGAATAGTACTTAGATAGATTAATCAATTTAAACAAGTTTTAAACAATAATTGTACTTTTATAACATTTTAAACGTTTTTGAAGTTCCGTGGACTCATTCCGTGGAAACATTTAGGATGTTGGGTTTTTGTTGTTGTTGTTGTTGTTGTTGTTTTTTTAATATGTATGAATATATGACTTTAAACGTATGTTTCAATAACATTATTAAAGCATACATGAATGTGATAAGATAATAATAACCTTCACATGTAACACACGCACTATATCAATTAATTTACGAAGTTTCAGACTTCAAATGCCGTCAGAGCCTATACCATTTTTAATCGATATTGATAGTTTCGTTGACTCGAACATTCAGCAGGACATGTTTCAATAATGTTGCCAACACTTTTGCATAGCATTTTCATGATAATCTATTAAACATGTTATTTGTAATTATATGAACACGTGTACGTTTCAACAACAGTATCATGAAAACGTGTAAGTATCAAAATAATAATGTTAAAAAAGATATTTCAAAATGTCAAATGTTTTCAATACATTTATTGAGTACAACAGTTTTAAACATGAATCTGTAATGTTTTAATAACACTTTTTAATCGTTACTGATAATGCATTTATTTGATAGTGTCAAATATTTGTGATTTGTCTTCTAAGTATTTTACCAACACCACTTAGTAATTCATAACATCTTGGCGACACATTTTTAACATGATCTCTAGCATCACTACATAAATACATGTTTTTATAATATCATCCAAACATGGAAGAGCCGATTTGATAACATCTAACGTTTAACATTATATAAAAATATATCACATTAATAAGATACCTTTTCCTCAATAAAACCTATTTAAGATATTTGGTAATAACATTTGGATCGCTTTACAAACCTGATGAAAAGTCAAATTAGAGGTACATGTATTCAATTATTTACATAAGGTCCATAAAATGTTGTTTTTGAATGTTTTAGATAATTACATCATCGGCACATCCTTTCAAAAATGTTACCATAGTGTTTTGCAACTTTTGCTGGGTTATTTTAGGTGTGCTCTGGGCTCTTCAACTCAAGCCGTAATCGACTTGGTGAAAGGCTACAGGGTGACAGTCACTTCCCTTCTCTGTTTTGCGCCCTTGAGAAAGAGACTACCTCCACACGTGTACACGTACAAAGGTCACCAACCTGTCGAAATTATTCATGACCTTTTATGATAATTCGCTTTTGGAGAGTTTGTTGTTGATAAGCCACCCAAATGGTACACTTTCAAGCAAATGCCCTCTTCGTTCGTCAAATGTATTTTTCCCCGAGCATCAAAAAGATATTACATCTAATATTTCTATGAGAAATCACACACATGATAATTATTTCATCAATCGATTGTCTTTTGGGGCGATGCGTGATACAACAGTACAACTGATTCGATAGAAGAACGACAACTATGGCGTTTTGTCCAATCAGATGCAGTCTTACAGGTTGTTCCTGGCGGACCGATATCTGTGCCACCGTCTGCCACGTACGAACGTGTGCGACGCTCCTACGTGTCGAGTTTACGTACGCGTACGTGCAGTGCAGTGGCAGAGTTTGCGATCGAACCAAACTTTGTGTGCGACATATTTACCAGTTATTTGTATTTTTTTCTCCTCTGTGGACTGTGGAAAACAGACACACTGGAGCGGAAACGGCATAAATTGTAATTACAGGACGGATTTACCGGAAAGCAGCATCCACTTGTGTAAGTTTTGAATTTTTTTGTCTTCAACTTTGGAGTTTGCGGTTTCGGGTTTGTCGAGAGAGGAGAACGCATGTATTTGTATGTGTTGAATTGTGGACGTGGCGTGATGGCGCAGGCAGTGACGATGTACAGTGTTCAGTGCAGTGTGTGAGTCACTGCAACATGCATTGGAATGTTGGCATTTTTAGTTTACCTATGTCCTTGGTTTCCTAAGTAAGGATATCCTGTCGTTAATGTAGTTTTTAATTTTATCATGTTCTTAAAACATAACGTGGAATAGAACCCAGGCCTGAAGTATGTTAATCAAAATTAATAATAATATTACTAGGCAGTGGATATTTTGCCGGAGACGGCAAACCTTTAGTAAACGTTAGGGAGCAACTATAGAATGCAGGGCCACGCCGGAGCAAGGTTTTTTATTTTGCTTGGAGGCGTGGATGGACATGTAATGCACTTGTCTTCTAAGCTTCTCATGAAGGATCGGAAGGGAGGGCGTGCTTGTAAATGTGTTGGGGGCACGGTACGGATCGGAGTCGCGGAGTGGCGGAGGCGCAGAGTCGCGGAGTCGCGGAGACGCGGGGCACTGGAGTGGCGGAGGCGCGGAGTCGCAGAGACTCGCGCCGATAGAGGGCGCAATTCTCGGCAGATTTTTTTTGAGAACGAAGCATCCAAATCCATTTTAAATGGGCTCGCAAATTAGGAAGGGAGGAGGGCGACGGGGCACTGTCTGGAGTGGCGAAGGCGCGGAGTCGGGGAGTCGCAGAGTCCATTTTAAATGAGGTCGCAAATTAGGAAGGGAGGAGGGCGACGGGGCACTGTCTGGAGTGGCGGAGGCGCGGAGTCGTGGAGTCGCAGAGACGCGCACCGATAGAGGGCGCAATTCTCGGAGATATCGACTGCGGCTCCACGGTACGACGCCACGATCGATTTTCGGAGGTAGGTCGGCTCCACGCAGCCGTACGGAGGCGCGGATGTAGAGTAAAGTGGCCCTGCATTCTATAGTTGTACCAACGTTAGTTTGCCGGATATGCACTGAACATGCGCAGTTACTGTTTTTTTGTACTTCAACATTTTCCGGTGACAATTTTTAGTCTGGCTCCATGCCAATATTATCGCTGTTACCTCGTATTCACAAGATGGGATTCAGACCATTTTATAATTTCGGACTTTATTTCCCTTTTAAAAAAAATCCTCCAGAGCCACAAATCTGAAAAAGGAAATGTAATACTCTGCAATAAAATGTTTGAGACATGTTAAAATAAGGCAGTGTATATTTTGCCGGAGACGGCAAACGTTTAGTAAACGTTAGTTTGCCGGATATGCACTGAACATTCGCAGTTACTGTTTTTTGTACTTAAACATTTTCCGGTGAAAAGTTTTAGTCTGGCTCCATGCCAAAATTATCGTTGTTACCTCGTATTCACAAGATGGGATATAGACCATTTTATAATTTCGGACTTTATTTCTCTTTTAAAAAAAATTCTCCAGAGCCACAAATCTGAAGAAGAAAATGTAATACTCTGCAAAAAATGTTTGAGACATGTTAAAATAATAAAAGAAGAATATTCTTATTTATTTGGGGATGAGAAAAAAAACCTTAAAAATGTGGTGCGGTCGGAATCGAACGCGAGCCTTTGCTTAACCATTACACCAAACGTGCTACACAACTTTTGTTGGGAATTTAATACATCTTATAATTCAGCCCTATTTTAAAGAGTACAGCGCCCTCTGTTGATATGGATTGCCGCCGGCAAACCTTTAGTAATCGTTAGTTTGCCGTCATTACCTCCGGCAAAATATCCACTATCTTAAAATAATAAAAGAAGAATATTCTTATTTATTTGGGGATGGGAAAAAAAACACCTTAAAAATGTGGCGGGGATCAGGATCGAACCCGAGTCATCCCGCTCACCTAAAGCTTTGCTTAACCACTACACCAAACATGGTACACAACTTTGATGGGAATTTAATACATCTTATAATTCAGCCCTATCTTAAAGAGTACAGCGCCCTCTGTTGATATGGATTGCCGCCGGCAAACCTTTAGTAAACGTTAGTTTGCCGTCATTACCTCCGGCAAAATATCCACTATCATAATAATATCACAGTGATCACTTCACTTGATTCAGTGTATTGATCACATTCTGACATTGTCATGATTGTCATTGTTGTATTGACAAAAATGACACGAGTGATTGAATTAAAAATCACTCAAAATAAGATCAATAAAATTGTAGGAAAGAATGTTGCAACATGACTGTGCTTTTTTCTTCATATCACCTCAATGAATGTCAGTCATTGCAAAAATGATGATGAGATATTAAGACATGAATTTTGGACCGAGAAACATTTCCAATTTTGTTAGGAAACTAGCGGGATGCCGCGCTTCGCGCGGCACCCGCTAGATGGGTGGAGTTGACTGTTTCGTAATAATTACTGTATACAGTGAAATCTCGATAATAACCCCAATAACTCCAAACAACTGTTAAGTCAAATAAAGAATCAGACGCTCTGCTGCACGCGAGCCTATTGGGGCTCGCCATCAGTCTCACCTTAGTTGTATTTGCGTTTAGCAACGTGCGCGCACATAACATTTCCTGTGGAGATTGTGCGAGGGTCCAGGACATATTGTCAATATAGGGGAGGGGCTAGTTAGGGTGAAAGGTGCTAGTCGGAACGCCCAATTTCCGTACAACCCGTCAACCATGTCACAAATATTTCCGGGGATGGGGAGAAATGGTTTTTGTTATAGAGGGGAGATGGTGATATTGAAATCGCTGATATTGTGGAGGTTTATGTTTGTGCTGGGATTCATACCGTTTAAATGTTGTTTTAAATTGCGCACCGATTAGGAAGGTCTTGCTGTCAACAGTTGAATGAAATTAAGTATTTATTGCCGACCGATTGTCTCATGCAATGTCTCATTACATGTATGTAAAGCTCATAACTAATGTTGTGCTGGAATATTGTCCAGTCAAATTGAACATTGATTTTTCAAGGTGCCAAACCATAAAGGACGTATACACCAACTGTACAATTAGGTAGTTTAGATGAAACGCGGTTTGATCTTGACCTTTACAACGTCGTATTCATAGTTCTCACTACAGAGGAGAGGAGTGGGAAGCCAGTGGGGATGGGGGTTGGATATTGTGTGGCCTATTTACATGGGCGTCGCCAGGATTTGTTTTCTAGAGGGGGCAAAACATATTTTTGCCAAAAAAATGCCTGTTTTTCTCAACACATTCTTTATTTCTCAGTTTTAGAGAAGGGCAGGGACATTTAGGCCCCCAACTCATTAAATTTAAAATTGAACTCATTTTTTCCCCTTCTTTTTTCTTTTTTTTTGCTTTCGGGGGGGGGGGGGCCCTTGCCCCCCCCCCCCCTTGCGACGCGCATGCCTACTTATGTTACACCTGTGAATGGTCACTTATATTTCCGGGGAAGTGGGCAACAATTTATATTCGTTATGGTGAAGGGGGTGTTTTTTATGTATTAAGTAGTAGTTAATGTCATTATAACAGTTCGTGTTTTTATTATGGTGATGGGGTTGTAGAGCAAAGTATTGTAACACGTTTATTTGCAGAAGAGAGTAAAACTATAAGAAAGGACATATTAGAGCACTTCATAATTATGTCAAGCACCACATGTTAAATGTATTTATTACAAAACTGTGAAAATGAAATCAGGTACAATGCACACACAAATTTTTTAGTAATAATGTATTTGCATTCAATACAGGGTAGTACTTTGACAAAACTCAGGGGATATAATTGTAGCAAATTTTTGGAGCGATTTTCGTAAGGGACGTCGGTCCAGGCTTGTTTAGCATAGGCAAAAACATTCCATGAAAGACTTTCAAGCGAGACGGGTAATCATTCCATAATTATTCTTGGATACAACTAAGCCAAGGATATAACTTTAAAAAAGGATGGACATAAAACAGCAGAAAAGAGTGATTATTTTTGCACTATTTCATTTTCATGACTTCTAAATAATAAAATTATGGCTAGAAGAAAAATGTGTTTTGAATGGGTAAAGAGAAAAAGCACGTCACGTCTTCGTCTTGAGTCGAGATTCTTGCTTTGGGAACTGGTTGAAGCATGCACTGGAGCATGCTTGGAGCATGGTTGGAGCTGGTCATGTGATGTGGGTGTCATCGGGAGTCCTGTGTAAAGGAGTAACAAAGAAAACTTGTAAAAAAATACATCGGCTAACAATAGCTACAAATAAATTGTTCCTGCGCGGTTTGTGCCTTACGATTCTGCGCGCCGTGCGTGCTCACGGGTGTCGGATGCTTCGCCCCATTTCCACGTCGCCCCATGTCACTTCGCCCCTAACCACTTCGCCCCATCCCCACTTCGCCCCATCCCCACATCGCCCCATCTCCGCTTCGCCCCATCCCCACTTCGCCCCATCCCCGCTTCGCCCCATCCCCACTTCGCCCCATGTAGTATAAAAAAGGGAAGGCTAGGGGTGCAGACCAAATAAACTGCCAAAGACCCCAGATAATAAATGCTCCCAATTCTAGAAACTCAGGAAAAATACAAACTCTCTGATGAGGTGCTCGAGACACAGATGAGAGAAATGATGGCTTAAATAAAATCATCAGCCGCTGGATTCAAAAGAATCCCCTAGGTATGGGTCAGTGAGTTCAAAGGAACTCACTGCCTTGAGGAAAATGTTCCGTCAAAATTTGTCTGATATGTGAGACTTACAACTTCATTGATGAGATTGGTTCCTCCAAGAGTGAAATTAGGATGTCAAAGGTATTGTCGTTCTCAGATAAGTGGGAGACGGGTTGGTATAGCCGGGTTGGGAACAAAGTTGGATCTTTTACTTCAAGCTTTTTTCTCGGTAGGGGAGAGCCTAGCTTGAGAGGTTGGTTATGAATTGTTCATTTGGTGATGGGCTAATTCTTTCCGTTGGTTAGCAATTAGTGAATCTATTGAAATAGTTTTTTTTTAAGCCAAAAAAATAGATGAGATTTTTTTTTTTACATGTAACGGCTGGGGCGAAGTGGGGATGGGGCGAAGTGGGGATGGGGCGAAGTGGGGATGGGGCGAAGTGGGGATGGGGCGAAGTGGGGATGGGGCGATGTGGGGATGGGGCGAAGTGGGGATGGGGCGAAGTGGTTAGGGGCGAAGTGACATGGGGCGACGTGGAAATGGGGCGAAGTGTCCGACATTCGTGCTCACAGCACATCGCGCAGAAATCGCCATCTTTATTTTCGGGTTGCGTGTTTTCGCTGTGCTGTCATCGTAATTTTCCCCCCCCCCCCCCCCCAATTTCTCTAAAAAAAAAATCAAAAATCGGCCCTCTATCTATGACATACCTGTTTATTGAGAATGTCTCCAACTATTTTGGTCGGGCTTTTTTAAAGTGGATTTTGTTCCCTATAGGAACCGGGCCCTTCTACTAAATACTACACGATCGCCATGTCCGAGGCCCACGCGATTGGGTCACACTTTTCACAAACAACAATTGTCATTGCCAGCAGTGGTGTTCGAAAGAATACTTATAATCCTTTGGCAGAGGTGTTCGAAAGAATTACTACTAACTATAATCTATAATGTGTCATAGCACAAACCGGACTTACCATTGAAAGAGAAAATTGTAGCATAATCAATGCATCAAACGACCATCAAACGAAGCTAGTAGTGCTGAGAAAATGTGGGGCAAGCATGCCTTCAGCTTTGCATGTTGCATGGAATACCGTTGCATGCGCTGCAGCGCATGCTCCTCTATACGAACGTATACGTATACGTGGCACCTCTATACGAACGTATACGTATACGTGGCACGACAGGTGTAGCGTGAATATCCGACTCCATGAAATGTGGACTCATTGGTAGTCCTGCGCACGCGTGAGTACGATACTGTGCTATTTTTAGGATCATTTTGGGAGAGTGACCTGTCACGTACGTGCGAGGGATCAACCAATAATAGGGAAATAGGGGTCCGATTTTCATAGGAGTCGAATTTTCACGTGACACCGGCCCGTACGCAAGATGGCGGCCGGCTCAATGGGGAAAGGAATTCTGGGAAATATGGGGCGAAAATAGCCGGGCCCCGTTCCGCATCCCCCGCAGCCAACAGGCGCGATGGGGACGGGAGACCGGTCGGAGACCGGTCGGGAAAATGGCAGCGCCCCCGAATCATTTTCGTGATTGTAGTATAGATACTCAGACTTTGTACACAACCATGACATCCACTGAAGTGGCATCAGCCATCAGGTTGCAACATTCTTTACAAATTGTATATTAGTGCCACTGACCATGGAGAAAGGAACATCATTATGGCAGCTGAAATGCGATTTTCATCTGCTAACGTTACGGCCGGGACTGCAAAAAACCATCATTTTTTTTTCAGACAGAACCACCATGGGAAAGATTCCCAAATCTGGCCATCACTTGTCACCCTGTGCACAAACCCTATGAGACTGGTCTAAAAATTTCTAAGTGTTTTCGTAGGAAATACTTCAATATTTTCCCTGCTAAATATGACTTTTTAGGACATATTATCACTATCTGATGGCTGATAGGTCATTAAAGGGTAAAATTAGTGATGGCCAGATAAGGGAATCTTTCCCCACCGTGACCGACCCGAATCAAACACATTTTCTGGTTAAGTTTTATTTAATTTTTCGAAAACCAGTTCAATCAAGAGAACTCCAGCAAATGTTAAAAGAGAATTAACGTAAATGTTTTTGAAAGTTTCATCTGCAGCACGACAGCACGGACTGATAAAACCTTTGACCCATCACAGAACATGTCACTTAAAATCACATGCGATATAACTAGGCAAAAACATACGTTCATTCGTTAGTGAATTTTCAAATATTATTAGAGACTCTACAACTTTGGTTCAACAACTATTCGATGCGACTGTAGAGTACAAACCAAAATATTTGAAATCACTTGTTTGAGCATATCGAGGAAATTTGCAGCTCCGGTGATTTTCTACACGCCGTCCAAACATGTCAAAGTGCGAGTCGGAAATCTGGCCAAAATTCTTTATTAAATTTTATCAGAAAGAAGCTTACATTTTCCTGTTTGAAAACGCACTTAGTCAGAAATTAATAGTATAGGAGAGCAATCCAACCAAGGTTTTTATTTGAATCGATCTGGAACTAGGAAAAAATCCGGAAGTGGGAAATGACTGTAAATACAGTGTAAGAGAATTTAACAGTTTTCTATTTATGCACCTACATGTACATGTACATGTACATGTAAACCAATGCCCAGCTGGGCAATTCCACGGTTACTCACGTTACATTTTTGATGTACTTTTGAGTTTCCTTGGGCTGTAATTACCTTACTGAAAAGGTTTAATAACTGTTATCCCTATGGCAGATAGAGTACACCTAGACCTACCTAAGCACCAAAGATGACATCCAGAAAAATGTGTTATGTATAATAAACAAGACGCACATAATTGGTTACTCTCGTTACATTTTCATAATGAGAGTAGCCGATTTTGTGCGTAGTAACCGATCTTTTGTGCTTAGGTAGGTCTAGGTGTTCTCTATCTACCATGGGGATAACAGTTATTAAACCTTTTCAGTAAGGTAATTACAGCCCAAGGAAACTCAAAAGTACATCAAAAATGTAACGTGAGTAACTGTGGATTTCCTTAACTACATGTACACTGTAGGCCTTCATCATGTATTAATTACACTTCTGCACCAGTAAGCCAGATGTCCTGAGTTCCAGTCACACCCAAGTAAGGTTTTGAATTACATGTATGTAAAAAGCCATAAAAAGTCTGAGGGAAAAAAATCCAAATGAAGGAAGAACATTATTTTTAGCATTACAAAGAGTGGCATCTTGCTTGTAGTTTTCCACTTATTGAATGAACTGGGTTTGCCTTTTGCTTAATTCTATATGACTGAGTACGGCATTTTTAATTTCTGTAGTAGAAAGGCAGTGACGTGCATGTACATTGTTCACTGTCATCCTATTGTAAGTCGTAATAATGAAGTTTGTTTTTCCATGTAGCTTGGAACAGCAATACTGACGCAGGCCTGCAAATTGAAATTCAATTCCCATTTTAAGGTGTTAATGAAAAAAGAACAAATTAACGCTTGAGGCAATTCAAAGGAAAATGAGTGGAATGACCGTGCACAATATATATGTGCGAAGTCTTAATTTCTTTACTTTGCAGAGGCTACCTGCACTGTACTTAATTATTTTTTTATTTTGTCATAAAAATTTGCTAGTGACTGCATTTGTTCACAATCATTAGTGCTAACATAGAATGCGTACGTACATTTACGTACGGGTAATTTTTTGTAGATTGTGAAATTATGGTCTTATATTGACTGAATTTTCCAGTCTTTGCTGTTGATTTTTTTCTAAGGCCAAAAATAATAGTTCTGCTTCTGGTTTCCCTATCTTCCCCTGAATTTTGTCTGGGAAAAATGAGGGGGAAAAAACCCGCCCAAAACCATTAATTACTATGTACTACCTTTTACCCTTGACTACACAGACACCTCTACATGTATATGATCGTACACATAAAAAATTGCAAAAACAAAAGCACGCTACCCTATTTTCGAATGCCATGTAATCGGCAGCAGAAGTATTTTTCTGGCCTAACCTACATTTGTACATGTACATGGTACATTGTACATGTGCATGTTGTTTCGGTTTCCCATACGTCAGGTTTCTTCAATGCTGTACATGTACATGTACTTGCACATTTCCACAGTTTGCACAAGAAGACTTATAAACTCTTTGTGATTTTTTTGTTTGTACAGAGTCAGTGGTGCTGTTTGACTTGATTACGGCCAAGACCATGAATACGGATACTTCAGCAGTAACCCTTCCCCCGCCAGGCTTTGGGCTGGAGCCGGGCGCCATGGGGGACCCTGCCGCCAACGCCCACAACCCCCACAACCCCCGGGTGGTCAGCATGGACGACGAGGCCTACACGCCGCCCACCTACGACGAGGTGTTCCCGCCCTTGGCCGCCGTGGTCGCCGCTAACGGTCAGAGTAGCAGCGAGAGCATGATGCCCGGCGCCATGATGTCCAACATCGGCCAGAAATCCTACGCCAAGATGGCTGTTAAGTCTTCCATTATAACTCAGGTTAGATGGCATGTGCCACTTGCATATAACAGGCATGCAACTTTTCCTCGGATCAGCTGATTTCCTCTTTTTTTATTCTCATTTCTCCCATTCAAAATAGAAAATCACTGTACAAAGTCTTCAGAATTTAGGAATTTCCTCTTTTTTGATGAATTTACAGTTGCATGCCTGATATAAGCTGGAGCAGTGATTTGCAAAGCTTGATTCATAATTGTGAGGAACGTAGACCAGGGTGTGTCGACTTCTTTTTTCCCAGTCTCTGGCCCCGGGTTCCCTAACCCTCCTCAATCCTCCAAAATCCTCATGGAGGTTTTGGAGGATTTTGGAGGATTGAGGATGAATGGTGTTTGAGAAACAAGAGGATTTTGGAGGGTTGTGGATGAATGGCGTTTGAAAAAGGAGGAGGATTTTGGAGGATTGAGGATGAATGCATTTTTGAGGCAGGACTGTCTGTGACGATTTTGAAGGGTTGAGGCATTGGGTATCTTTCAATCGAACATTTATAAGCGCAACAGTTTGGAGGATTTTGGAGGATTGAGGATGAATGCATTTTTGAGGCAGGACTGTCTGATGATTTTGAAGGGTTGAGGCGTTGGGTATCCTTCATTCGAACATTTATAAGCGCAACAGTTTGGAGGATTGAGGATGGTTCCTACCCAAAAGGCCCTAGGGGGTTAGGGTTATTCCTAACTCCTGAGCTTTCTTGCCCAGAAGCAGCCTGAATACTCCTATATCCTCCATTGGGAAAGAGTTAAAAACTCTAAGCACCTAATTCTTTCAAAATCCTCCACTGGGTTTTATGGCATGTTATCACATAATCGGATTAAATGCTGTTATGAGTGCATTTGCCTGTGTAACTTGTTAAAATCCTTCATTGTTATCATGTATTGTGGATTGGCAATGCCAAGGCCATAAATAGTCGGAGTATAGAGGCTGTACAATAAACAGTGATTTATGCTGGATACCTGCCCAAGTAGGCCCTATAAAGCAAGTAACAGACTAAATCCTCAGAAATCGTATTTGTTTTTGGCCCAACCGGCCAAAGACCCAATCCTCCAATTTCATCCAGCCTCAGTTGGGGCCAGCTAACCTTGATCCTCCATTATCCTCCAGAGGCAAAACCTTTTATATGCCCTCAATCCTGCAAAATTCTCCAGTACTTCCATTTTCAAAGGCCCCATGAATACGTCTCCACAAGGTTATCACGAAATAGATATGGCTTTTACTCAAATACTAGGAATTTCCAAGGTGTGTTGATCCGTCTGATCCAAATTGAAGTATTTTATGTAAGGGATATTAAGTCCGAATTTCAGCCCAGGAAATTAATTCTGGTTAAAATAGGAGCATTTTGGAAACTACACTTTAAAACTCGATATTTTAAGTACACGAGAACAAAGAAATGACTCCACAAGGATACAAATTCCAGTATGTGTGTACACACGTATGTACAAACATTTCGTCAACAATTGCTTGTCAAATAACTATTTGCCTGCATTGTCTGAATTTATATTTCAAATGACACTATTTACATGTACATGTACATGTACATATACATAATCCGTAGATAATTGAGAATGCTGCTTGAAGTAGGCATTTTACATGTATTCATTTCTTGCTGCGTGTACACTTTCATAGACTACCCGCACATGTACAAACTATGTGCTTCCTGTCCTTGATTACATTGTATTTGGCCACTGTCAGCCTGCCTTGCATTGTGCATTGCACAATGCTAGTACAGCTAAGTGTGATAAAGAACAAATAAGCTTCTCGTAGTCAAAGGTCACTTTTAACAATCGACGCAACAAGATAATGGAATTATTTGTCAGATATGTTAAATGTCCACCAATCATGCCAATACGCCACTTTTTACACAATGTGTGTTGTGTGCATATACATTTTCTGTACATTTTTTGTACAAACTATGCTATTAATCTGTGCCTCATATTTACTACAAAGTACAAGCATTGAGGACTTACATGTACACTGTACATGCATGTACCGTACGCCTTTGTTCTGTGTATGTCCTTGCTGTTATTATAGAAAATGGCCAAAATTATTTGTCATTTAAATCAGGATTCTTTGGCCAATTTATAAATATTTGTGGGTAATTACATGTAAACCATACATGTATCCAGGAAAGAACACGAATCACAGTTTTCAAGTTATTACTGGAACACTGGTGTACAGGACTGTATACATGTACGCTCACAAGATGGAATTTGCATCGGGGTGATGTAAATTTATATGCCGTACTTATGTACATAATTTCAGTAAAACTCAACCTTTTCATCCTAAAAATACATACTGTACAATACATGGCGTTTGCACAAAACCTGTGTACGACCCAGATGTGATTCCCAACCTGGCACAGACAGGTATAAGTCGCCGCAAAAAAAAAAAATCTTTAAAAGAAAAATTTTTAACCCTTACTCTCTGAGGGTAGTTTACTGCATGTCAGTTGGTTATGCCAATGCCCTCCAGCTGCAGTTTATTGGAGGATACTTTGATGTAGCAGTGAAGGCTCCAATTGGCAGGAGTTGGAGGCCCTGGAGGGTGCCTGATACTGACCAGCTGGGGGCACTTGATTGTTATCAGAGGACTCTCATTGTTCTCTGTGGCATGTATTGGAGTGCCTGTCCAGTTACCCTTGAAATGACATGGCAGATATTGGAGGGCCATGCAAAAAACATAGGAGATTTTCTTGAGGCACATATTGGCATGCGTTGGAGGGTCTAGTAGGGTAAGGGTTAAGGAAAAAAGTATTTTTAGGATGAAAATATTGAGATTTATTGAAATAATATAAATAGAAGTAAGAAATAGAAGGACGTATGCAAATCAAACTGACGTGTACAATATTACATTAACCCCCCTGCTGTTTAAAAGGTCACAAACAGTCAAAGTTTCCTTCCACTTTCCCCTGGTATATTTTTAACACACAAATGGCCACTTGACCAATTTTGACCCAAGTAATAGCATGGTTTTTTGACCCGAGTAACAGCATGGCTCAGAATGCATGTTTGCATAGGAGGGTTAAATATGTTAATTTAGACATCTGTAAACTGGTAAATGCAGCATATATTGACTGTTGAGCACAACATACATGTAGAGACATAAGACATGAACAAGTACATATATTAAACATTGTGTCCGTGGTTTCACTTTGTAAATGCCAATTTTGTATTTTTCCCTGGTGAACAGGTTTTTTATGTGCCTTTAGAGGAGCGTCGTTACAAGGAGATGAACCAAGGCTTCGGTGAAACTGATTCTCAGTCGGGCCGAATCTGTGCCGAGATCATGAAGAACACAGGTCAGACTTCAACCAGATTTAACCAGAGATGATTGATTGATTAATTAATATATCCCATCATGCATTATCTTCATAAGGTGCTATATCTTTAGGCAGAGCAGGAGGGTCTGTTTACATATAGAATTAAAGGAATTTGTTGTGTGTGTTTAAAAATGGAGTCAGTCATCTCTACTGGTCCCTACCGGTACTTCAAATGTAATGGAAATTTATTTGATTTGATTTTGGGGCCGACAGGTCAAAGATCAAGGTCACTATTCCTAAAACAAAAGAAATGTTGTCAACACGATAACTTGAGAAATATTTTATTTTAAGTAAATAGAAACTTGAGATTTGGTTTGTGGGTTGTTCTTGGTAGTCTTAAGAAGCCTATAGCTTTGGGAGCTGACACGTCAAAGGTCGAGGTCACTTTATTGCTAAAACAATAGAAATATTGTTAATGTGGTAACTTCAGAAATAGATTTGCGCAAGTCTCACTTGCAATATTTTTTTTGTCATTGTCCAGGAGCTTCAATTGAGATGAGTCTGGCCAAGGACCAAAGCTTGACCATCGTGGTGACCGGCAAGCAGGAGTCTGTCATGTTTGCACGCAGGGAGGTCCTCAACAAACTCCAGACCCAGGTTAGGCCTACTCATTCAATCTATTACACCTACTGTATACTCACTAAAATCCTTCTGTATTTGTGCTCGGGAAAAATCCATGTGCTTATCACATGATCATTACTGCATGGTCGATAGGCGGGCGGTCATAATCCACCTTGACATAAGCGCGTAGTTTTGCTTTCTTTATTGTGTTAATCTTTATTTATTGTGTTCGTTGTAATTTTTTCATTTCTTGCAACAATGGTCTTTCATCTGTTTGGAAGTAATTGTAGTCCTGAAAAGAACTGATAAGATGTTGTCTTTGCTGCTCTGTCTCTGCCCTCTACTTGGTAGCCTCTTTTTCACAGACTGCAAGTCCGTTACCTTATTGCGGCAGTCAAAATATCAGTCGCCGTGGACAAAATGCAAAAGCGGTACTTGTTTTCAATTGGCCATAACTCAATAAATATTAACCCCTTTGAAAAGATTTGTTCGTTGTTGAAAAGATAATAGACTATACTCTCGAAATATAGATACTTGCGATGTATTAAACAAAAATTTAAAAAAGTCAAAAAAATCCTTTCCAATATGGATATTTACGAGGTCTCTGGAGAGATACTAATGACTCTAACATATGTTAGTCCGGTGCGAAACTCTCCATTCAACCCAAACTCCCCATTCAACTGAGAACTGACCTGCCGGGTGGACAATCAAGGCCGTCACTCAAAATTGTCCTTACTAACTGCCTGTACGCGTATACAAACTGGCAAGATGCCAGGGGGATCGTGCAAGTTTACTTGCAGTATTTTTCAAGACACCCTGTACATTGAATTTGGGAGCCAAAGGGGGTGTTCCTCAAAGCCAAGTGTGTTTTGGCAATGATTGTTATAGCGATATTGTTATACTGTATTGTGTGTCTTTCCTGCAGGCCAACGTCAACATCCCAATCCCTAAAGAGCATCACCGTTTCATCATCGGCAAAGGCGGAAGCAAGCTGAGGGAACTGGAGAACCTGACGGCCACCAAGATCACCATCCCAAACCCCAACGACCCCTCGGACTTGATCCACATCGTGGGGCCGCGGGAAGGGATCGAAGGGGCTCGCCACGAGATCCAGCTCATCTCGGAAGAACAGGTATGATACATAGATGGTGCAACTGCCCAGAGCTTGAATTTATACAAAACTACCAAACTTTGGTGCTTATCCAAACTTATGTGCTTAACCATTCAGAATTCACTGATCCCTTAACCCTAACGTACCTGAATCCATCAAAATCCACACCCCTGTTTCGGGGGATTTCGGCGGATTCAGGATACCTCCATATTGCACAAACTGGGGGATTATGAATGATTCAGGATTGTAAGCCTAGCAGCACTGCATGATTTTGATGGATTCAGGATACCTCTATATTGAGCTGTTGGGGGACTTTGGCGTATTCAGGATCTCAACAGATTTAGTCCCCCCTAACTGGTGGATTCTGATGGACTCACTGGCCACCAAAATTTTTTTGATGTCAAAATTGATGTATTTTGGCAGACTCATGATACTTTCTAGTAAAAGAGCCCAAGGGGTTAGGGTTAATGTAAACATTGGAATCAAAATCTTAAGCAAGTGGTGGGTGGGAATCTTTGTTAACCCCAACCCTTTGAACAGTTTTTCTAGAAAGTATCCTGAATCTGCCAAAATCCACCTATTGTGTCACGCACAAAAAATGTTGGTGTTGGTGACTGCTCAGTATGTAGGTATCCTAAATCCATCAAAATCCTGCAGTACCGCCAGGCTTACAATCCTGAATCCATCAAAATCCCCCTGTTTCCAATGTGCAGGTATCCTGAATCCACCAATATACTCCAAAACAGGGGTATGGATTTTGATGGATTCAGGTACGTTGGGGTTAAAGCCAGTTTATCCCTAACCCTGCTGAAGCCTACAATCTAACTATGTCACATACCTGATGGAGCCTGTTGGATTGAGAAGTTAACCCCTTGTGTACATTCCTCATGCAAAATGTTGGATTCAGCAGGCAACTGAACCGCATTATTACGCCATGTTGGACTCCGTTGGATTCAGCAGACAACTGAAAATAAGGCACAGTGGATTGAGCAGGAAAGTCCGGTTGGACTCTGTTGGATTTAGCAGGGTAGTCCTGAGGGAGTACTAGGGGTTCTAGTTAAACAAAGCAAATTTGACGTCAGGAAACATTCACTGAGTTGAAATGTATTTAACTGTTGCAAGTCTGCAGTGCAATAACTTTCCTTGACATCACAAACTGGGGCAGTTTTGGGCGGTGCAAGAAGTAATAAGCAGGGCGGTTTGGGGCAGTACATGGACTAATATTTCAACACATGTGCATGAACAGGACATTCTCCATATTTTTAGCCGAAACAAATAATGATCAGACTATTGACATTCTCCTCTCTGTTGACTGTTCTTCTCTTAACGGTCTTCGTTTTCATTCCTTCTCAATTTTCCTTCCGCAGGCCAAGCTGGCATTTGAGCGCCTGAGCATCCCCCGCGTCTACCACCCCTTTATCAAGGAAATAAAGGCCCGGACCGGCGCCAAGATCCACGTCCCGCCTCAGAGTGCCATGAAGGACGAGATTGTGGTGTCAGGGGAGAAGGAAGCTGTGTTGGAAGCGATAGATTGGATCAACGCCACCTACAATGCCAAGGTTTGTTTTGCAGGCATGAGAATAAGAAACCTGTTAGCTATCTAGCAATATGCAGGTGTTATTCTCTAATTGGGTGCTAGTCGGGAGCCGTAAACCTTTATGTGCCATATGGCCAGGGATCATGCTGACAGTCAAGGCTCTAGACGTAGTTGCGTGTTCTTCATTTTAATTAGATCTAATTTCTTTGTATTTCTTTGATCAGCTTTATAGCAAAGTTTGTTGAGGGACGGTACATTGTTATAGATACCACGGATTAAATTAGATTTTAATGAGATTTAATTTCTGTGTATTTCTTTGTTCAGCTTTAAAGCAAAGTTTGTTGAGGGATGGTACATTGTTAAGGATATCACATATTTAATTAGATTTTAATAAGATTTAGTTTCTTTGTATTTCTTTGTTCAGCTTTATAGCAAAGTTTGTTGAGGGATGGTACATTGTTATGGATATCACAAATTCACACCCGACTGTATTGAATTTCTTGGTAGTTTAAAGTAAAACTAGTCAATTTCCGGTTGTGGCCAATATAAAGATATTCATTATAATGCCATTTCACTTTCACAGTCAACGCTGTTTGTTTTGTGCCGTTGATAGAGTATACTCTCCCACATCAGTTTCATAATCATAATAATGGTCAGTATTTTTTTTACATGTGGGCCATAAACTAAAGAATGTACTTACATTGTAGCTTTGCCAATTTATAATGAGCAAAACTTCAGATGAGATACTCATTCAGTTTGTCCACACTTTCTTTTTGAATGTACATGTATATATTTTTTGATGCAGTATTGTTCGCTGTACACTGTACAGTAAGATCTGCTTTTGTGAACAGTCCAAAAATTTCTTTTTATGCGATGGCGTTTCTGTAGAATGTATAGAATAGGATCATTTATCGGATAGGATTTCTAAGACTCCAGGATTTTTTTTTTTTTTTTTAAATCTTAAAAACTGAGCAATTTCTGTGCTTAGCGGTTCTGTGATATTGGCCCCTGATACTACAGTTGGTTGTTGGGGAGTGTGGCCCAGTGGGTAGGGTTCGTGACTCGTGATCAGAGGGTCAGGGGTTCGAATCCAGCTGCTGGTCATGTGTTGTGTCCTTGGGCTAGCCACTTCATCCCCACTTGCCTCTCTCCACCCAGGAGTGTACACGTAAATGGGTACCGGCATTAGCTGGGGAGTAACCTGCGATGGACTGGCATCCCGTCCAGGGGGGATAGAAAAGTTCTCAGTCGGACCATGCCAAGAAAACTACAGGGTGGTGCAAAAAGAAGGAACCCCACTTTTGACAGAAATTTTCTCCTACTTGTTGAGCATATTTCAAAAATTCAAGTAACCCTAACTCCTTAGGGGGTGTGCAAAATCACATTGAAATTATGGTATTACAATATTGACGTTTACAACATACATGTAAGTGACCCAAAAAAAAGATTGCAAATGCATATTTTGTCTCTGAGATATGGTAGTTTAAAATGTCATGTGCCAAACCTGTTTGTCCACGGACGGCTTTATTCCATCCGCTTGACTGAGCTCCGGAGCTTGATTTGAAGACAAAAACACTACACTAGACTTACACGTGGACGACAAAGATTTTGGTAACTTGTTTTCAAATCAGCATAATAACACTATTCTTGCGGGTTTTTTTAAAAGATTTTTCAGCACGTTGAAGAGCTGTACTTCACTGCATTAAAAAAAAAACACAGTTCAACTAAGTTAAGTAGGTAGGTTAAAATTCCTTTCAAAAGTGGGTTTCCTTCTTTTTGCACCACCCTGTAGAGATAAACGCTGGCCTGATGAGCTGTATTGGCTCGTGACAGACTTTACTACTTGCTACCACAATTGGTCGCAGGATTGATGGGTGTTTTTGTTTTGTTGTTGTTTTAACAATGCTACAGAAAATGAAGACTACGACCGTGTCCCTGGAGGTCAACAAGTGCCAGCACAAGTACGTGATCGGGCCGCGCGGCAGCAACATCACGGAGATCCTGGAAGCCAGTGGCGTGTCGGTGGAGATGCCCAACCCAGACTCCGTGTCGGAGACCATCACCCTGCGTGGGGAGCAACACCAGCTGGGCCAGGCCATCACCATGGTCTATGCGAAGGTAGGACTCTGAGTCTCGACACCAATTCCGCGACCAAAATGTTAGACCTCAGTCTGTGTCGGTGCTGTGTAATTTTCACTGAAAGATGATCAGTTTGCCCAGTTTTTCCCAGTAGTTGGTGTCAGAATTCAGCTGTTACGCTGTTTTCTTTTATATCCAGAAGTCAATTTCTAGTCCATCGCAAGACAAATCACAAGTCCGGTCATATGTGACAGGTGGTAAACAGTGGAAGAGCCATGCCCTTGTCATAGTTTGATAAGCTGGTGACGTGACTTTGAAAAAGATGACTTGTGATTGATGTGTCATGATTTGGGATGACGTGATTGAACTTACAACTCTGCCGAAATCCTTGCCTTACCTTTCTTGATACTTCCCCTGTCTGGTTTAAAAACTGACGGAAATGTAATAGGCCATCAGCCTCGGTCCAAAATTTTGGCCACCGGTATCAAATGAGGGGAATAATTGCCATAGCGATTTTTGGCAAGGTATACACCTCCAGAGTTGGAAAATATGTGATAGCATTGCAGCGGTGGCAGCTTTTTTGGGTGTTATCACCCTTTTTTTCAAAATGTCCATCAAAATGCTTGTTACCACTCTAGGGGCGGTATACCTTGCGCATGCGCACTGTAATCATTTATGCCCTGATTTGATACTGACCAAACCCCCAGGCTGATGGCCTATAAAGCTGATTTGCTGATCTTGAATCTTGAAAACTTACTGCTTACTGTCCTAACTTTTTTAGCAGTTCCTCTCACTTCAGCAGATGAAAGTAAGGATAGTCTTCTGTACTATGAAGCCACTGATGATTTTCAGCACCTAAGTTTTCAATCCACTTTAAAAGTCTGTTTTAATGCTTAACCCTAACTCCCTAGGCCTTTTTGCTAGGATGTAGCCTCAATCCTGCAAAATCGTCTAATTGGCCTCATGGAAAAATAGCATATACCAGTAGCCTCAATCCTGCAAATTCCTTCATTATTTCTTGAATATGGTCCGTGGAGGGCTGACCTCTGCCTGAATCCTGCAAAATCCTGCGGCAGTGACTGTCAATATGTTGAGGCTTGGCCAGTGACATCCTGGAGCAGTATGAAGGATTTCAAGCATAATCCAGGCGTATATTTATGCATGGCTGAGCAAAAACAACACAAGGTCCAGCCCAAGACCTTGACAAAGTGCATCCTACGAAATCAGCAACGCACTTTTGCCATGTAACCTCAATCCTCCAAATTCCTCCACTTTGGCAAAGAGGATTTTGAGGGATTCAGGGCGGTTAGGGTTAAGAGGTCACCTTTCTTTATCACTGGATTTGATACGATGTTCTTATAAATGTCCCATTACTCTGCAGGCTAACAGCGTTGTCATCAGTGAAGTGGCTGCACCTGCCTGGCTGCATCGTTTCATCATCGGACGACAGGGGAAGAACATCCGCAACATCACCCAGAACTTGTCCAATGTAAGTCAGCACCATAGAGCTATATTGAATTTACTAGAGCGCTGACTCAAAATTTTGTACGGCTTTTATACGGCTATTTGCATATCTGCGTTTGTATTCTATACAGGTGCGTTACTGAAGTTAATACGCCCAAAACCGAAACGCACAATCAGCAAATAAGCCTTTCATTTTGCTCTACGCAAACAGCGCAATGTGTGCGTGTATCTGCTGCAGATGATTAACCGTGACGTTTTTAAAGCGTCATGACGCGCTTAAGTTGTTTGTGTATGTTCTACTTGTGCGTTGCATTTAGAGTACACTTTCAAAATTCAATCCATCTAATTTCATTATGTTCTACAAACACGCACATGAATTCAAATTGCCTGCGCCCAGGACGGCTTCAAAGTGTCTCCACGCGCAAGAATGAGGAGTTAGCGCTCTAGTAATTTTATATATCTCTATGGTCAGCACACTCGTCTTAAGTACTGAAGTTTAGTGGCAACTTATGGAGCATGTACATGTATCATACCACATGTGATGAAGTCTTCTAAATTCGTTTCGTGACTGTGGCTTGTTGCTATGATTTGACTTGTTATTTGTGAAGTTTAAGTTGCAGATGACCATTTTCGATCCAACATACTTTTTTGGTCAGTCACTTAAGGCATGGTCAATTGTGCCATGAGGATGGAGAGGATTTTGCTGCAACTAGTACTTTACAAGAGTCATGATGCCACTTGAAAAGTTGAAATACCCCCTTCCCTCCCCTGCACTGCACATGCACTTCAACATCCACAGTCGTACTGTAGTTTGCAGTACAGTGGAACTCCGCTATAACGAACATCGCGGGATCCACAGAAAATGTTCGTAATAGTGATCGTTCGGTATAGCGATTTTAAGCTGCCAGTGCTCCGGTACTCACTTTTCAATAAATGGCGCCCTTCATAACTTCACCGTGCACACCCTGGTAGTTACTGAAAGACAACTTCGAACACGTGCCGACTATTGAATTATGTAATTACACAGTTTTTAGCTTACTACCTATATCGATGGGTGGCTTTCCCCGTCTATGCCTTGGGGAAATAATAGCCACTTGTCGCTCTTCTGTTGACGGTTTTTAACAACAATGTTCGGTTGGTTTTGTACAAAAAAATTGGGAGCCAAGGACGATGTTCGGTATATCCGAATGTTCGGTATAGCGGTGTTCGGTATAGCGACGTCCCACTGTACACGTTGAAATAGGGTCCCAGGGTCCAACACCAAACTATTGAGGTACATCATGTAGAATCTCATTGTTCACTTTCAGGTCCACGTGGAGTTTGCCGAGGGTCTGGACAAGATCACCCTGGAGGGACCCCCGGAGCAGGTGGAGGAGGCCCGCCGGGCCCTGGAGGAAATCTCCCGAGATCTCCAGAGCCGACTGGACTTTGCCATCGTCAAGATTGACCCCAAGTTCCACAAGCACATCATCGGCAAGTCCGGAGCAAATGGTAAATTGATGCCACTTTCTGCTTGTTTTCTCCCCGATTTTGGTCTTCTGTTTTGCATCTCCATCTGATCTCTCAGTTGAATTTGAACAAATTAATTTTTTTTAAAGATAGGGAAAAAGTTAGTGCAACAGTTAGATATCCAATATAGGAGTTTTACCGACTTTTAGATGGTTGAATTCCTCCTACGTGGTACCTCAGCTTTTTGCAACACAAGTCTTGTTGTTGGTTAGTCACACTTAATCGTAACTTAACCTGCTTGTCTGAGAGTTGTTTCTGAGTAAGACTTGAGAACAAAATATCCAATAGTAAATAATGTAAACAAAAACACTGTTAGATTCTATCACAACCACACAGTCACTTTAAAAAAAATTGACTACGCAGTGGTACTCAAACCCGATATCTAAAGCTGGAGTAGTTAGTAGTTAGTTAAACATCCATTTATTCTTTTCACGCAAGGACATGAATATCTTGAACAGCGCTGTTTTTTTTCCATAATCAACACAGTCTTCGGCACAATTGCAGAATACCCCACCACTCATCTGTCCCACTTCGTAGCTGGTTACGCGGAAACGGAGACATGCTTGACTGCTCACCCACAATATGTGTGCACTTCCCGCTCCGTATCCCGGCGTAGCCACTCCTACTTTGGACTTGAACTTTTTTCCAATCCTCCCCATTCAATTTACGTTGTATGTACTGATTCATCCCCTTGGAAGATTTTTTATAAAAAGGGAAAATAGCGCCCTCTTGCGCCCCTCCCCGACTCAGCCCCACTCTGTATCCGCGTAGTCACTTTGGGGAAACTAGTTTAGACTTGGACCTTTCTCCATCTTTTCCATTCAATTTAGGTTGTATGTACTGATTCATCCCCTTGGAGGATTATTTTACGGGAAAAAAGCGCTCTCTTGCGCCCCTCCCCGACTCATTCCCACTCTGTATCCGCCTAGTCACTTTGGGGAAACTAGTTTGGACTTGGACTTTTCTCCATCTTTTCCATTCAATTTAGGTTGTATGTACTGTTTCATCCCCTTGGAGGATTATTTTAAGAAGGAAAAACAGCGCCCTCTTGCGCCCCTCCCCGACTCATTCCCACTCCGTATCCCCGTAGCCACTTTGGGGGAACTACTTCGAACTGAGACTTTTGTCTAGCTCCTTCGACTACGTAGCCATTGAAATTTAGGGGGTGATCTTCGAGTGGCGGGGTATTCTGCAATTACTCCAGTCTTTCTGCCTACTGTTCAAGAAGCCCCAGCCTTATCACACTCTTGATTCCGCCATACATCTTCCATCATGTATCTTTTTGTCTTGGTGTTCCAGTGAATCGCATCAAGAAGGAAACGGGCGTGTCCATCCGCATCCCTACCGACCTCGAGAGGAGCAATGAGATCCGCATCGAGGGAAGCCCGGAGGGTGTGCGTCAGGCTAAGACTGAACTGATGGAGCTAGCTACCCGCATGGTATGTCACAGAAACAGCCTTCTTTATAAAGACGTTTGCGAGTGTAGTTTATAAACATTGACTGCTTTAAGTGGCAGGTGCAACAGACTTGTCTCTTTGTAGGAGGTCCAAGGGAAAATAGAACACTTCCGATCCATGGATCAATGAGGGAGGCTAGTTTAAATATACCGTGAGCTGAAGCATTCAGTATTTGTTTTTTAATGCCTCACCCATAGGCCATCAGCTTCGGTCCAAAAATTGGGCAACTGGTATCAAATGATCGAAAGGAGCAATGCTCAAAGCGATTTTTGGCAAGGTATGCACATCTAGAGTTGGAAAATGTGTGATAGCTTTGCAGTGTGAGGGGTGGCAGTTTTTTGGTTTTTATAACTTTTTATTTTTTTTTTCAAAATGGCCACCAATATGCTTGTTTCTGGATGAATTATATGTGGTAACAAGCTTTTTTTGGTAGCCATTTGTTTTTTAAGTGCTAGCACTCAAAAAGCTGCCACCGCTGCAATGCTATCACATATTTTCCAACTACAGGGGTGCATACCTTGCCAAAAATGCCAGGTTGATGGCCGACCACAGGTCTTTTGGAGAGAGAGAGAAAGAGAGAGACCTGAAAAATTAAACACAAATTGTATTTCCATTTGAAATCAGTTAAAAAATCTACTTGCATAGTGAGGGAACTATCATCAAATAATGGTTTTGTTTAACTAAACAAGGCTATCATCGTGACATGCTTGAGATATTGTTTCATTCTCAATTTTCACCGTGATTCTTTGCATTTTTTGGTTGTTTTTTTTAATGATAACCAGGAAAATGAGAAGTCTCGTGACATCTTGATAGAACACCGATTCCATCGCACCATCATCGGCACCAAGGGCGAGAACATCAAGGACATCCGAGACAAATACAACCAGGTTAGTCATCAGAGCAAGCATCAAAATACCAAAAACCAAACCCAGAAAAATTCCTGTTTCCTCTGATAGGGCAAAGTCAATTCAAAGAATTTGGTGGTCAAATGTTTAAATCTTCAAAGTTGTTTACCAAACCCTGGGGTCTCTATGGATTTGTACTCCATAGAGACTTCAAATGCTTCCATGTGGAAATTGGAGGACAGCCTCAATCTTCCAAAATCATCCATTATTTCTTGAATTTATTTAGTGGAAGGGTGACCGCCTCAATCCTTGAAAATCCTCCAACTCGTTTTTGAGATGTTGAAGCGATGAAGATGATTAACCAGAAGCGAGAAGCAGTGTGGGTGATAATCAGCATAATGTAGGCCTACATGTCTGTGCATAAATAGTTTAAGACCATGACACAACGCAACCTCCAAAGTCAAGTAGCACTGAACAGGCATACAGTTTCAATCCTCCAAACTTTTCAAAAAGTGCCTGGTCAAAAAGTGGCGAAAAAAACTTAAGAACGAAAATGTCATAAATATTAATGTATCCAGATTGACCAACGTCTTTTCAAATTTCATCAGGTCCAAATCACATTCCCTGACCCCGGCATGAAGTCCGACGTGGTGACCCTGCGCGGCCCCAAGCAAGACGTGGACAAATGCTACAAGTTCCTGCAGCAACTCAGCCTGGAGCTGGCGGCCAACAACTACATCCTGAACGTGCCCATCTTCAAGAAGTTCCACAAGAACATCATCGGCAAGGGTGGAGCTACAATCAACAAGGTAGGGGGGTTGGAAATGCGACAGTTCTACCGTAGTGACTAATGCTTGGCCACTTGCCATACAGGATTGATTGTTCTGACTCTTGCCCCCTGAACGAAGACATTGACATGATTGACGAATTGAGGAACCACAAACCTAGAGCGGGAAACCTCAGTTCGTAGAGTACGATACATTTTTGAGGTCAAAATTTCTAGTTCCAATCTTTTTTCTTTTTTCTTGTATTATAATTGCGTAATCTTATATATGAGGGTAAGATGTTGAGGTAGTCTTATATATAAAGGTACATGTGTGCTTCTTCCACAGTGTTTTTCAAGACTTCCAACCCATTTTTATTAAGCCTAACTCACAAGGCATTTTTGCTAGGATGCAACTTCAATCCTGCAAAATCCTCCAACTGCCTCCATGTTAAAAATGGCACACAGCCTCAATCCTGCAAAATTCTCCATTATTTCTTGAATGTGGTCCCTGGAGGGGTGACCACTGCCTCAATCCTGCAAAATCCTCCAGCAATCACTGTCAATATGTTGAGGCAGAGCCAGTGACATCCTAGAGCAGTGCAGAGGATTTCAAGTATAACATAGGTCTAAATTTATGCATGGCTGAGCATAAACAACACGAGGTCAGGCCCAAGACCTTGACACCATGCATCCTCCAAAATCAGCCACACATTTTTGCAATATACATGTAGCGTCAATCCTGCAAAATCCTCCATTTTGCAAAGAGGATTTTGGAGGATTTGGGAAGGTTAGGCTTAAAGCTGCTCTAGGAACTTTTCACAAACCACAGAAATGCTACAGAGTGTAGATATCGAGTAAATTTTTACTTTTGATGTGAGAGCCCTTTTGTTTAAACTAAATACCAACATCTTACGATTACTACATGTGAAGCATTTCAGCTAGAGATCTACATTCTTATACATAGGAAGAGTAAAATGTGCTGACTGAATCTGAGAAATACTCCCTAAGAATATTTGCTTAGAAGCTTATTGAATCACGCAGCATTCTGTGTACTTGTAGAGAGACAGAAAAATCTGAAAATGTGAATTTGGTTTAGAACTCACATCTTTCTGATCTGTAGTTCAACATACCTCGAATAACGAGCGCCTGAGCATTGCTGGTAGTCTGTCAGTTATTGGAACCCTATTGAAATAAATTTGCCTCATAACTGGTTGGTGTGGCGTTTTGTTTTCGACAGATCAAGGAGGATACTGAAACGCGCATTGAGATACCGACCGAGAGCAGCGACAGTGACGTGATACAGATCACTGGCAAGAAGAAGAACGTGGAGAAAGCTAAAGTGCAGATCCTGGCCATTCAAAATGAACTGGTAGGTGTTGATGCTAACAATCCAGGAATATTAGTCTGGTTCCCTGACCCCATTGTCCTTTGACTTCAAAAACGGGGTCCAGTAACTAGCGGTAAATCTGGCATACATTGCTCGAAATTCCGGGTGATGTAAGTTAACTGCATGCATGATTTGCGTGGGTCTGAAACCCGCCTTGTGAATTCAAAATCACAACGGTAATGTTTGCGTGCAACCAGCCTGTTGCAAAATGGCAATAGGCCTGGCCACAAATGCGCAGTTTTTGATGTAATGAGCTTCAATTTTTGCTGGCACAACGGTACTTTTCTCGCCTTCCACCGCTGTGTTCCAGGTTCGATTCCTGCCTGAGCCAATTTGTGGATTTGGTCTTCAGTCCCTACTTGATTCTAAGGGTTCTCCTCAAATATACTTCTGGGGTTTTCCTCCCACATCTTTATAAGATTGAATTTTTGCGTCGGGGCGATATAAATCAAATTAGGTTTTGCCCTGCACCGACGTTTAAACACTGTATACTCGGTGTGTTACCTCCCGAGTGAAAGTTGGAAAAAATCACTCGGGTGGGACTCGAAGCCACATCTCCCACATCTTAAACTGTAACTTCTGTAACGTTGTCTTCTCTTTACTGGGCCCCATGGGAGACCAGTGGATTCCACTGAATGGGCTAGGCAGTTAAAATAAGCAAAAAACATTTAATAAAATAAAAATAAAAAATATTAAAAAAAATAAATAAATACTGTTCTGTTCAAAGTGCCATATCCTTGAAATAGATTTCAGCGTTGCTGCTAAGTTCAACCAATACCTGTTCGGCACAAACTTGCTGGTGTACGCAATAGTGTCTGATTTATTTGCTTGATGAGCAGGGGTAATAATATCCTTCATATATGACTCTGTGCGCTAATATATCACTCTGTGCACTAGGCCAACATTCTGGAGGTGGAGGTCAGCATCCCGGCCAAGTTCCACCAGTCCCTGATCGGCGCCAAGGGGCGCCTGGTCCGGGCCATCATGGACGAGTGCGGCGGGGTTCACATCCACTTCCCCAGCGAGGGATCCAAGAGCGACAAGGTCACCATCCGCGGACCCAAGGAGGAGGTGGAGAAGGCCAAAGTGAAATTGATGGAGCTGGCCAATGAGAAGGTAGGTGGTCTCTTAGAGCAACAGGTGGCCAGTTCCACGGCGCTGCTAAGCACAAAAATTTGCTTAGCACAAAAAAAGTCTGGCTTATAAAAGCAGGTTATCAGCAACAACTCCACGTGATGTATATTGCTCGTGATTAGTATTCAGCTGTTGTTTGCTTAGCATGAAAATCCCATGGCGTTTTGGCTGGTAACCTGCTTTTATAAGCCAGACTTTTCTGTGCTAAGCACATTTTTGTGCCTAGCAGCTCCGTGAAATTGGGCTGCAGGTGGCCGGTTTATTGAAGTCTAGAGCCCAATTTCACGGGGCTAAGCACACCATTTTTAGCTGCAGGTAGCAGTTCAACAAGTATCATGTCTCTCTGTTAGTTCGTTAGTTAGTTAGTTAGTAACAAACGTTGACATTGTCTATTGCTCCTACATATTTTGACCGTTTTCGTCCAAACTTTGTCAAGAGTATCAGTAGCCCAGCCCCAACATGTCACATGACCAAACTGGGGTCAAAGGTCATCATGGGATCACGGGGGCAAAAACCTGATTTTTGCAACACTTGTCAAAATGACAAGCCTGCTCGGTGTAACAAGATCCATCAGGTCAAAAATCTCAAGGCCAACCCACAGAGTCTGTGGTCACCAACTGCAGCAGGATACAATGCAGGATACAATGGTGGCACTGATCAATGGGACTAGCTCTCATTGTCCCTTTATTGGCCGTTTATACACTGGTGTTGATGGCCCAGTGCCGCAAGATCCCACAACTTTTTATACCAGATTCCCCATGTTGCCTCTGGCAGGATTAGTGCACTTCAGACAGGTATGCAACTTTTCCTCGGAAACGCTGATTTCCTCGTTTTTTTTCTTCTCATACATACCATTACAAATTGAAAGACACTGCACAAAGTCTTGTGTGGTTTGGTGTTTCCTCGCTTTTTTTCTTAATTCCCAGTTGCATGCCTGTTCAGATTCCGCTCACGTTGAGACATTTTATTTTTGGTCCGCGTTGCAGGAGCAGGCCAACCACTCCATCGAGGTGCACGCCAAGCCCGAGTACTACAAGTTCCTGATCGGCCGCAACGGTGCCAACATCCGTCAGGTCCGCGAAGAGACCGGCGCTCGGGTGGTGTTCCCAACGGCCAAGGACGAAGACAAGACACTGATCACCATCATCGGCACCAAGGAGAACACGGAGAAAGCCAAGCAGAAACTGACGGCCCTCATCAAGGAACTGGTAAGTGTGGGTGCTTACTCGATGTGTCAAAATGATTTGTGAAACTGGTAGGGTTTGGAAGTGCAGCAGACCAGGGTTTAAGAGTGCTTATTTAAGACGAGATTTCTCATTAACCCTAACAGAACTCAACCCATCAAACCCCAACAGCATGTTTTATTGGAATCTGTCAGGATGGGTACAGAACCCCTAAACTGACAGTCTTTTACATTGAGTTGGCACACCTCCAGAGACGAAGTCAGAAATATGTGTGTGCATAAGATGGAATTTTGCATCGGGGTGATGTAACTCAAACTAGGTTTTTGCCCTTCACTGACGTATAAACACTGTATACTCAGTGTGTTACCTCCCGTGTGAAAGTTGGAAAAACGTCTTACCACTCGACCACCCGTTAGCTCGATGGTCGAGTGTTAAGACGTCTGCACTAGAAAGCAGGAGGTCGTTGGTTCGAGTCCCACCCGAGTGATTTTTTTTCCAACTTTCACTCGGGAGGTAACACACTGAGTATACAGTGTTTATATGTCGGTTAAGGGCAAAAACCTACTTTGAATGTGTGTGCAGTTTCCAATATGGTGTTGGAACTTGTCAGGATGGGTATGGTTCGTAGTAAATCATGCTACGGAGTTAGGGTTAATTCCATTGTGCAAAAAATTATGACATGAAGCTTAAATCTATCCATGAGAGCAGTGAGAACAGTTTCTTTAAAGCCGAAAGTTTCATCTTCACAATTTGTTTTGCTGTAACAACTTTTTTTTGTATCATCTTTGGTGTTACAGGAGAATGTCTCCGAGACTGAGATGACTGTGGATCCCAAGTACCATCGCCACTTTGTGGCCCGTCGCGGCCAAGTACTGCGCGAGATCGGCGACGAATACGGCGGCGTGACGGTCAGCTTCCCCCGCAACGGCTCCAAGAGTGACCGGGTGGTGGTCAAGGGGCCCAAGAACTGTGTGGACGGGGCCGTGGCCCGCATCAATGAGATCGTTGCTGACTTGGTAAGAGCTGGATTTGTTGGAAAATTGACAAAATTGGGAGACCACTATTTTCAGACTTTGATAGCTCAGTTGGTAGCGCACTCCGGTATATTGTTGCTGAGGTTGCAGCTTCAATTCCTACTTTAGTCAATTCCTGTGTTCTACCTTACACATTGTAAAAAAAGGTTCAAAACATAATCATATTATTGGTGGTTGATAGAATTCGGGCGATTCACAATGCAGTGCGCCACCAAGAGTTTGCCATGGAGAGTCCATTTTTCAAGTTTACGGTCGACAAAACATGGCCCATTTGAACGAGTGTCGAGAAAAAACTTGAGCTAATTTGTAATTGGTGCATAGTGTTCTGCCGCCTTACTAAAAAACACCATATTGGTAAAAAGACACAAACGGCAAACATAATACTCGAATCAAAGGGCAAACATAATACTCGAATCATACGCTTACGAAACTACTGGCCGGAAAAAACTAACAATTTCAAATGTCCCGCGCTGCGAATTTGTCGACCATCTCCCACAATGCACTGGGAAAAATGAACTCTCAGTGGCAAACTCTGGGTGTCGCACTGCATTGTGAATCGCCCGAATTGATTTGGCTTAATTCAATCACAGACAGTCAACAAATTCTGAGCATTATCTTCCTAAATCATGCAAAGGCCTCCTGGAGTACTTTGGAGGATTCAGCAGCTTGAGGGTTTAGGTAAATGTCTCAGATGTTGATGATAGTTTGCATCTTGTGCTTTGATCTTTGTCAGGAATCTCAAGTTACTGTGGAGTGCCACATTCCCCAGAAGCATCACCGCACCATCATGGGGGCCAAGGGCTTCCGCGTGCAGGCCGTCACCAGCCAGTATGAAGTCGGAATCAAGTTCCCCGATCGCAACCCAGCCGCTGAGCATGCTGAAGATAAGGGTAATTAATACTACAGTGAAATCTCGATAAGTCAAACTCTGATAACTGTGACCTGTTGAAATTGAGATAGGGCCAAAAAAAGCTGTGGGGGTGATTGTTTTCGATTTTCTAATTTTTGCATATTTGTAATCCTGAACATATACTATAAAAGTTTGAAACCCTAATTTGAACTCTAAATATAATATTTTTGATGATTTGTTGAGGTATATCAGTTAAAGAAATCACTGTTTTGTGACGTTCGTGGCCATTTTTTCCATTTCTACTTTTCGACACAATGAACTTCGAAATAGCATAACTCTGCCCAGGAATGACCGGTTTCAAAAATTAAACCACCTATTAAAAGGAAAATGTACCTATTTTAACAGTATGCAAAAATCTCATTTTGGACCTTTTGCCCAGGAAAGTCTGATCTTGACAGAACAGGTCACAACTGTTAAGTCAAACAAAGAACCCATTCCCTTCAGTAGTATAACAATGATAAACAACCCTGCTTAACTCAAAACTCTGCTTAACTCAAAACTCTGTTTCAGTTAAAGTTCGAACCTGTTCCCTTGAGGTTTGACTTATCGAGAGATTTCACTGTACTACTAATAGTGTGGTGCTTATCTAGTACTTTATACCTAAGTCTCAAAGTGCTTCACGGTTATTGCCCCTTTTCATCGAGCCGTGAGACCAGTTTTCTTCAGCTGCTCGAAATCAGCACAGTCTGGTCTCCAGCCTCACAGCTACCTGTTTGTACTCTCACGTGGAGAGAAGCACTTGACTTCAGACAAATTGACGTCACGCTTTGTTTACATGTGCACTTTCTTACGGGAACTTAGTGGCTGTGTCCCCACCCGGAAAGCATTTATGTAAATAAAACATGAAGGCATTATGATTCATACATATTGCAGTAAAATGTCTTGCCTAAGAACACAAACACCATCTTCCCTGTCAGGGTTTGAACCCATGTACCATCGGTCAAGAGTTTTAACCACTTACAAATACACAAAGTATCTATTCAGCTGATTTATTTCTATACTACCACCATCTTCCCTGTCAGGGTTTGAACCCATGTACCATCAGTCAAGAGTTTTAACCACTTACAAATACACAAAGTATCTATTCAGCCGATTTCTTTCTATTCTTTTGGTACACTAGATTGCAGTAAAGTGTCTTGCCCAAGAACACAAACACCATCTTCCCTGTCAGGGTTCCAACCCATGTACCATCGGTCAAGAGTTTTAGCCACTTACAAATACACAAAGTATCTATTCAGCCGATTTCTTTCTATACTTTTGGTACACTAGATTGCAGTAAAATGTCTTGCCCAAGAACACAAACACCATCTTCCCTGTCAGGGTTTGAACCCGTGTACCATCACCCTAGAGCTGTAAACACTTACAAATACAGAAGTATGTATTCAGCGTATTTCTCAATAGTAAACTCTGTTTTTGTACACTAGACGGGGATGTTGTTCTGAACGGCGACAACAACAGCGACGTCAGCGAAGACGATAAGCCCAAGAAATGCGACATCATCATCATCACCGGCAAGCAAGAGAACTGCCAGCGGGCTAAGGAAGCACTGGAGGTAAGTTATTCAAAACCTGGCTCGTCAGCCCTAAAAGAAATTCCACCAGATCTTACAAAATCCACCTGGAGATTCTAATGGACTTTGCAGAGTTGAGGTAAAACAGGAAAATTAAGAAAAACCTGAGGTACCTCCTGTTGAATCTCGCATGCTCCCCTAAGGGTTTAATATACTTGCAATGATGTGAGAAGTCTCAGTGAAACAGGAAAACAATGACCATGAAATGAAATTCTGTATTGTTGACAATCTTTGTATGCATTTAGGAACCATACTTTCGCCGTAATGAAAAGATCTTGTCGAAGGAGACGTGATGAGAACATTTCCTTGTCATAATAATAATGTGGTGCTTATAAAGCATTTTATACCAAAGTGTCAAAGTGCTTCACAATTATAACCCTTTCTAATCAGAGCATGAAACGACTTTGCTGTAACAGCTCGAGATCAGCGCAATCTGGTCTCTGCCCTCACAGGTAATATTTTATGCCCCTGGGTGGAGAGAGGCAATTGTAGTAAAGTGTCTTGCCTAAGAACACAAGCACCATGTTCCCCTATCAGGGTTAGAACACTGACAGCGCATAAGTCGGGTACCTTAACTATTGGGCCACGGCACTCTTGTCCTGTGTTTAGACTTGTGCCAAAAGGTTTGGTGTGGACAATTAAACAAACCACTTTAACCCTTACCCTGCTGAATAAAACAGAAAGCAACAGAGGTAAAAAAAAGTTTGTTGCATCTTGTTGCATTAAGCAGGGCAACTGCTCATAAGTGCCAAGGCGGCACAAGAGAATCCTCTGTTGCATCTTGTTGCATTTAGCATGGTAACTGCTCATAGTGCCAAGGCGGTACAAGAGAATCCACTGTTGCATTTGGTTGCATTTAGCATGGTAACTGCTCATAGTGCCAAGGCGGTACAAGAGAATCCACTGTTGAATTTGGTTGCATTTAGCAGGGTAACTGCTCATAGTGCCAAGGCGGTACAAGAGAATCCTCTGTTGCATTTGGTTGCATTTAGCAGGGTAACTGCTCATAGTGCCAAGGCGGTACAAGAGAATCCTCTGTTGCATTTGGTTGCATTTAGCGTGGTAACTGCTCATAGTGCCAAGGCGATACAAGAGTATTCCCTGTTGCAGTGTGTTGCATTTAGCAGGGTAACTGCTCATAGTGCCAAGGCGGTACAAGAGAATCCTCTGTTGCATTTGGTTGCATTTAGCAGGGTAACTGCTCATAGTGCCAAGGCGGTACAAGAGAATCCTCTGTTTCATTTGGTTGCATTTAGCAGGGTAACTGCTCATAGTGCCAAGGTTGGTGTGCAGTGGGTTCACTGCACAATGCAACAGAATCCACTGTTGCAGTTTGTTGAATTTAGCAGGGTAACTGCTAGGTGTCAAGGTTCACTGCACAATGCAACAGAATCCACTGTTGCAGTTTGTTGCATTTAGCAGGGTAACTGCTAGGTGCCAAGGTTGGTGTGCAGTGGGTTCACTGCACAATGCAACAGAATCCACTGTTGCAGTTTGTTGCATTTAGCAGGGTAACTGCTAGGTGTCAAGGTTCACTGCACAATGCAACAGAATCCACTGTTGCAGTTTGTTGCATTTAGCAGGGTAACTGCTTGGTGCCAAGGCTGGTGTGCAGTGGGTTCACTGCACAATGCAACAGAATCCACTGTTGCAGTCTGTTGCATTTAGCAGGGTTCTCATTTGAGTTGAGTTAGATATTGTTGCATTTAGCAGGGTGCCTGAAGTATACCCGATGGGGGTTAGGGTTATTTTGTTCAATGCCAGAAGTGTGAATTAAAGGGAATGTACATCATTGGCTTTTGCTGTAATTTTCAGAAATGATCTATTTGAGGGGTTAGTATAATAGATCAAATATTGTTTAACTGACATGTTTGAAGTTTTGTGTTCGAAAATGCTTTAAAAACCAAGAAAAACAAAAATGTTTAAGAAGTCTGGTTCCCTGACTCCACTAAAGATAAAATGGATCAATTTATAGATGTCGGAAAATTGTAAGGTAAGGGAACCAGTCCAGCTGGCCTGCACCCGTTCAAGAACGTGTAACCAATAGCAAACAAAATTTGGACTGAAAAAAATTGTAAATTTCGAGCTGTAGTTGAAAAATAGTTAGGTTTTTCCAACGGTGGTCGGCCGACCATCGTTGGAAATGTATACAAAAATAGCATTTTCTTGAAAATGACTTGGCACCAGGTGCCATAATTTTACAGGATGCTTTAGACTGTCATTTACCAACATCCTAGTAAGGTTTTTCGTAAAAACTTGGTAGTTTTATTTTTCGATGTTTGCAAATGTTGTATATTCCCTTTAATGTTTACCTTTGTCTTCTCTCCTGCTAGAAACTTGTGCCCGTCACTGAGGAGGTTGAGGTGCCATTTGACTATCACCGCTTTGTCATCGGTCAGAAAGGAGCTGGCATCCGGGGCATGATGGAGGAATTTGATGTAAGACATATTCCGGAGATTTGTTTGTTGCTCTGCAAACACTCTTCAGTTAGTCTACTCTCTTTCTTTAAAAAAAAAAAATTCTGGACGTAGCATTTTCGGCATACCCTTCGGTCCAAATTCTCTGATTCCTACCCTATCAAAAGCCTAAGCACACAGACTTCAACACTCCTTTGCAGCTTAGGTTTTTTTTATTGAACGGTGTTTGTACTCCATCCTGTAGGTGAACATTTCCATCCCGCCAGCCATGCAGAAGTCCAACCAGGTCAAAGTCAGCGGCCCAGCAGATAACGTGGAGAACGCTGTCAAAGCGCTGAAGGCAAGGGTGGAAGAACTGCGTCTCACTGATGAAGACAGGGTAAAGCTTATTCCGTGACACTTGACTCTTGACCCTTGACCCATTGCCTTCAACTTTGACCCTTGACTACACCCTTCCCAGTCATGAAATAAGCAGGAGGAACCACTTTCTGTGGATAAGGTTCTTGATATCCTTCATTGAAACAGGGATGAATTTTGTCAGGATCTTTCTTGATTTCTGGATTTTTACAGAATCCCCATTTGAAATCAGGGGTGTGAAATCTCAGCTTTAAAGCTGATTTCAGCTTTTTTTGTTTTGGATTTCAGCTTTTTTCCTTCACTTGCTGTGTACAAAAGTATAGGAGATTTCCAAAGTTCAGCTGTTTTTACACCTTTTTCAGCTGTTTTCAGCTATTTTTATCAGCGGTCACTCACACCCCTGTGAAATCTGGAATTCTTGAGATATAACCGTATGGGTGCTTTAAAGGGAAAATACAACATTTGCAAACATCAAAAAATAAAACTACCAAATCATTTTGAAATACCTTGCTGGACTGTTAGTGAATGACAGTGTTAAGCATCCTGTAAAATCATGGCACCTGGTATACTGTCATTTTCAAGAAAAGTGATATTTTTGTATCAATTTCCAACGCTGGTCGGCCGACCAGCGTTGGAAAAAACTGTTTTTTTTTCAAATACTGGCCCCAATTGACCATCGCACTTGTTTGCAATCGATTACACACCTATGAACGGGTACAAGCCAGCTAGACTGGTTCCCTGACCTTACAATTCCACAATGTATGTAAACTGCTCTGTTTCTTCTTATATGGAGTCAGGGAACCAGACTACAGAAAAATGATTGTTTTTCTTGGTTTTTATAGCATTTTCGAACCCAAAACCTCAAAAAAGTCAGTGTAACTATATTTGCTATATATTTCCAACCCCCCAATTCCATCCATTTCTGAAAATTATAGCAAAAGCAAATGATGTATATTCCCTTTAACCAATAAAGCTTATTTTAGAACAAAAGAACTTGGTATTGTAGGGATTCCTTTGGGCAAATTTATTCAAACATATGCCCTCGGCAGCCCCCAAACCTTCTGCTAATTATTTTCTCCCAATCTCATCTGACCGTGTTGATTTGACCCCCTGACAGCGCCTGCAAAACTTTGCCGTGGAGATCGAGGTGGACGCCAAGTACTACCCCAAGATCATCGGCCGGAAGGGCTTGATCATCTCCAAGATCAAGGACGACCACAAGGTCAAGAACATTCAGTTTGCCGATAAGAACGCCGCCAATCCCAACATCATCACCGTGGTCGGCTATGAGAAGAATGCGATGGCCGCCAGGGATGCCATTCTGGATATCGTTCACAACTTGGTGAGTGAGACGAGAATCCCAATGTTGTCCATTTGCATGTTTGATACCATACCACTCCTTTTTAAATAGATAATTATGGCTCCGCAGGTACCAAACTATTACGGTAATGTGAACCAGGTTCCAAAAATTACCTTTGTTGCCAGCAAACCTTTTTTTGGAATATTCACATGATTTCTGTACAGGATAATAATAATAAAAAAAGACATTTATATAGGGCCAAATCCATTTAAATAAAATGCTCCCAGGCGCTTTACAGATAAGATACAATAACTAAAAGAATAATTACAGATACTATTTAAGATAAAATTAAAGAAAATATACATGGGAATCAGAGGAATAAACCAAACAAAATATTGTAAGCAAGTTACTAAAAGCAGAAAAATTTGAGGTACAAAAAACAGCTAAAATGCAATAAAAAACAGCACAACAAGAGATATAAATAACAAGAGATATGCAGTGGCTTTGTGGTCTGGAGCATTGAACTTGAGATATGTAGGTAATTCTGCAGGTTGTGGGTTCGAGTCCAGCCTGGGGCTATGCTGCTTGTGTCCTCGGTCAAGGCACTTTGTCACTCATTGCTTCTCCCCACCCAGGAGTAAATGGGTACCTGTGAGGGCAGAGATGGTTGCTGTGATTCACTTAAGCTTATTTTTGCCATAATGGCAGCGTTGAACTGTATGCTCCCCAGGGAGCTGAGAAGGCCTTTTTGACATGTTATTGGCCCGATAAATCCTAGTACAAAAAGGTGCTCCTATTACAATATGTAACACAGCTTTCCCTCCTCAGCCACTCTCCATAGCCACATCTCTTCTTTTCATACAATTCATCGTCTCTTTTATTTAACTTATCCTCATCGCAACTATTCAATTTGTCTCGGTTTTTAGTGTCCTGTTTCATGTTTTGTTTTATTTTGTCTTGTCTTTCGTTTCCCTTTGACTGTTTGTTTTCGTGTTTATTCCTATTGTCTGTGCATACTGTCCTGTATTGTCCGTTTATGTGTTAGGCTGTTCTCTACAAGCTTCGGTTTATATGAACAGTCCCATACTCTTCACCCTCATTTAATATATTTAGTCGTTGTACTACATTGTTGCATTATTATTTATTTAATTTATACAATTAAACCTTCTTTTTATTTGAAAACTTAGTTTGACTTATTTGTGGAAAGTATGGAAATAAATGTTGCCTTTGAATTTGAATTTGATTCTGAATTTGAATGAGTAGCAAATGCTGTTGGATATGTGCACTTATCATAAAAAAAAAAACCCGCTTATCATTATCAGGAGGACCAGACCACAGTGGAGCTGGAGTTGGATCGCCGCATCCACAGCCGCCTGATCGGCACCAAGGGCCGCTCCATCAGCAAGGTCATGGACTCCTACAAGGTGGACATCCGCTTCCCCCGCAGCACCGACGCCAACCTGGACCTGGTCACCATCACCGGCCTGGAGGAGAACATCGAAGAGTGCAAGGAGTACCTGCTCAATCTGCAGGAGGAATATGTAAGTGGCTGCCGTGATGACACCGCATCAGTTGCTGTTCTACGGGGGGCTAGGGGGGCTTTAGCCCCCCAAAATGTTGTCTAGCCCCCCCCCCCCCCCCCCCAAAAAAAAGGCCATAAAAAAATTCCATTAAAAAAAAATTACACTAGCAAAATGTAAGAATGTGACATACATGAGAACGGTCTCCCCCTAAATAAATAGTCGTGAGAATGGTGCATTTGTACACTTTTAGTTTAATAATATAGTGTGCCTGATTGTAGGATTTTATCAGCGCTCCCCATTGAAAATATCGTCGCGTCAGTGCAACAAGGTCGTATCTCCTAAAATGGCATGAACGACGCAAAACGCGAGTTTTACAATGTCAAAAGGTTGCTTAAAATAACCCGGATGTACACGCAAAGTCAATGGACGTCGAGATACGACCTTGTTGCACGGAGCGTATTCGCGCGAGATACGACTTTGTTGCAGAATGGAGTTACGACCTTGTTGCACTGACACGACGATATGGAAATATGGCACGAGCCCCCCATTCATTTGCACACCAGTGTTCATCGGTTGCTATGTGTTACCATTCAGCGCTCCAGACTGAAGAACCATTGAGTTTCAAGAAGATGGGTCTTGGAGGTAGATAACACAATGTAACAAATTCTTGGACGTCCGAGCCTGCCTACAGGATATAGATTGTGCTCAGTGTATGTACTACGTGTATTTGCAGTGTATGTACCCATACATGTATTTTCACGGTGTTAAACCTTGTGTTATCTGCTTTCTCTTCTCTTGTTATTTCACCCTTAGCTGCAAGAGATGGATGAGAGTGTCGAGTTGCAGCAGTACACCAAGCCTCCCAGCCGCCACGGGGAATCCCGTCAGCCCAAGGCGGACAACCCGGGCTTCGTGGTGCGCGACGCCCCATGGAGCAAGCCCCCGGACACCAGCAACACCATGGACTTCCCCAGCATCGGGCCGGGGACCAGCAGCGGACCAAAGCCTGGTGCTGGCTCCGCTGCTTCCTGGGGAGCCTGGAAGCGCTAGTCTGGGTCACCCAGGTACCGCATAACTGGGCCCCATTTTACAGCCGTTCTTACTGGGAGCTACATCAGGCACAGCAGGACATTCCCTAGCTTAGGACTCATCTCAAAGAATATCCCAGGTACATGCAAGTCACGGAAAACTTGATCCCCGCTTGGTGCATTGCTGCAGGTATTGGCTGCGTGGTTCTGAACAACCTCCGAGCATCTTCCAGCAATGAAGTTGCCAGTTGTCGACAATCCTGACAGCTTCATGACGGGAAGAGTCCAGGGAAGTTGTTCAAAATCCTGCAAACTAATTCTCGATGCAGTGGGCCTAATTGCGGATCATCTTTTCTGCGACATATCGGGGTAAGTTTAATGAGCAGAGTCTCCTAAACAGTTCTCATATGCATAGGCTAGCAGGACATTCCAGAGATGCCAACCATTACTCTTTTGGAGCAACTATTAGGATTTTGAGGCATGTTACTACTCTTGAAAATTCCAGCTGTCCTATACGTCAACATTGTGGTTACTCTGACAAGTACTGTGGTTACTCTTAAACTTGACGGTTGTCCTATGCATTTACATTAGCATTACTCTTTGCAGGAAGAATCATTACCATTTTGTAGTCTGTAAAGTTGGCATCTCTGAAATTCTGGCTCATGTTATTACAGGGCCCAATTTCATGTCTCGGCTTACCATTAGCAAAACAAATTCCCTGCTGACTGCAGCAGAAAATTCTGTGCTTACGGTAAGCATATTTCACAGGTTTGCGTGGAATTTTGGCTTCTGCGTATGCGTACGTCCCGTTACCGAGTGTTCTGTGCTTACAGGGTTAGCACACAATGTTTCTGCTAGCGTGGTTAGCGCAAACTGGTGATCATGAGCGCGTCATTCTGTGGTTAGCAGCGCCGTGAAATTGGGCCTAGGTATCCCATAACTATTAAGGATTATGTGCTTACAGCGCTAGCGCTGTTAGCGCTGATCTCTGATTTTGCAGATCCATAAAGTTGGACCCGGATGGGTGAAGTTGCTGGTAGACTTTCATATTTTTTGGAAGGACACTCCATTATATACTGTTCTCTATAAACCCCAACGTAACGGGCACCCATCTTGGGTAGTATAGTATGCTGCAGCTAATTTTCATTCTCTGTAAGTTGTATTTTCCTTTTGTCAGATTTGGATTCTAGAATTCGGTAGTTTTATTTTTTGGAAGTTAATTTTCTCCCAATAACTCCTGTAATATCGCTTTGGGGATAATCTACGGTGCCTTTTGTTTTATTAAGTTTAGGCCATCAACTAGACATAATAATACACTAATTTGGGTGAAGTTCGAGACTTTGTTTTTAAAGATTGTCATATTAACTGATTGAAGTATCACACACACTTTGCATTTGATAATTGCCAAGAGTGAAGGATCCCCCAATACAATATCGTGTAGCATATCTTAGACTACTTCAAATTAAAATCGCCCATCACAAAGAAGTGATTTCAAATCAAGCTTTTAGGTAGAAGTCACATGGATTCCACGATTTGATTGCGTACTTAGCAGCTAGTCAGGACTCCGAGTATAAAAGGCTTAAATCAAGCGTTCCGTCCTTCTATCTACACACAGAAAACCGAGACTTGCAGACCTACGAAAGCATAACATGTAGATTTTAAGAGACCCTCTCCTATGGTGCAAGATCTTTGAAAAATAACTGCAGCTTTTTAATACCAGAATTCAAAACTCTATGCACTAAATTAAATGTTTACAGGCAGGTATGTAGCCTTAGCAATGAGAAGGTGCATTGTTGGTTACGTGGTGTAGATCTGCAGAATAAATCTCAAAGGAGGTCACAAAATAGCACGAGCTATCGACGGAGAAAAAAATAAGAATAGAAAACTAATTGCAATATTTTGGTTAATCTTATACATTTCTTTCTTCGGAGAAACATTCCATGTATTTGGATATTTTTTTTTTTTTTAACATGGAAACGGTGTGAGCGATATTTGTTTCTTTTCTTTTTTTCCTTTTTGTTTATATGTTGTAATAGAAATACTTGTTCCAAAGAGTTTGAAAGTTCCAAAATCATTGAAGCTTACTACTTTCAAACTGACCAATGTTTGCCAGATAATTTCTAAGTACAACTCTTGACAGTTAAAAAAATACAATTTGTGTTTTTGGTGTTGGTTTTTTCTTCTTTTTTTTTAATGGTTAAAAGTGAAATTGATTTCCAAGCATTGATTTGTGGTTGAAGATGAAATGGAACAATGTAAAATTGTATCGAGAATTCGATTTCTTGATTTTTCTTCTTTTTTTTTTTCAATTCGATGAGCAGTGGATTTTCAACATTCCTGTTGTGCTTAATCTGTGATTATTGCTCTTTTTTCCAGAAGCTTTTAGCTGTAAGCAGGTCCAAACCGACAAACACTTAGATCTAGTGAACCAGTGTGTGTGCTCCGTATATTATTATTATGCCAGTGGCTAATTAAAAAAAAACAAATTAAATTAAAACTAATAAACTTTTATGTTTTAGTTTTTCATTTCCTTTATTTTCTGTAACTTGACTAAAAAAAAAAAAAAAATTCACGTCGATATTTCTGTAGTGTAATAGAAACCCTCAATATTTAAAGTTGAGATCAATTTTTCATTTCACTATGATAATTTTTTTGTTTTCATTTGTGTTATTTTATTTTGCATGGCATGTAGCGCTTTTGTGTTATGTTAGGCTTTTTGCCTCGTTTCAAATTTAAGTTTTGGGAAAAAGTTGTTAGTATTCAGAGGGACCTTTCGTTTTGGAATTCTTCATTTTATTTGGATCAGTAATAATATATCAACATATTGAACGTATATTATATTGTACATGTTTATTTTTATTAAAATTACCGAAAAGCTATTTTCATTGAATTTCTCGTTATGTTTATCGTGTAGAGACGTAGGTGATGAAAAAAAAAAATTGACAAGATTAACAGTCGTGTGAGTATAAAGTCGACTGTCGGTGTGAATTTGGCCCAATGCAATGCTCTTGTGAAGTAAAAATCACACGCAACAGAAAGCTTTATTACTAATGCAGTATTTGTTTAAAATTTTTGAGATTTATTCAGGTATTTTTATTTTTGTTTTTGGTTATAGGAATTTGGATCATTGTATACAGTGTATGCCTCAGTGATGCGTAAATAATGGGTAAACGTTCTTCTAACTTCTATGGTTTTATTCCTGGGATTACTTTTTTTATCCCGAATAATTTCAGTATAAACACTGCCCATTAAACAATACTTGATGAATTAGAGTGACTACGCAGTGATTTGACTCAAACTTCAAAATGAGCACAATTTTATTAATCTGCTCGGAAAAAAAGTTGTTTTCAAGAATGTGAAGAAACTTTGAAGATGTATTGATTTAACATACAATTTTAAGATTTAGATGAGCATGTCGTACAGCCAAGGCGAATTGAATAATGTACTAGGTTTGTATATTCCAAAGATTATAATGTGCCAAGTTGCTAATAAAATTTGGGAACTGTTCTGTTCGAAAATAAAAAAATTGCAACTAAAAAAAAGTAATATTCAACTTATATTCTGAATATGCTGGTTTTGGAGTGCGATTTGTTCTGTACCATGTTTGTGTCTTTCACCTTTGCGATATTTCAATGGATGTCTTTAAAATTTGCTTTGTGCCCTCTGAAAACTGGGATTTTCATCTCTGAAGTTTTAGTTAAAAGAGAATACACATCCTTACTTTTGCTGTAATTTTCAGAAATGGATGGATTGGGGGGGGGGGGGGTAAGGTAATACATAGCAGATATTGTTACACTGACTTCTTTGATGTTTTTGATTCGTAGATGCTATAAAAACTAAGACAAACAATCATTTTTCCTGTAGTCTGGTTCCCCGACTCCATTTAAGATGGAACGCAGCAATTTATAGACGTTCGTGAATTGTGAGGTCAGGGAACCAGTCTAGGCGGCTTGTACCCGTTCACAGGTGTGTAATCGATTTCAAACAAATACGGACTAACTAAATTGGTCAATCGGGGCCAGTAGTTGGAAAAAAACCCCAAAAACTTGAGCCAATTTTTTGGGTCAAATTTGACTAAAAATGTAAGGTTAACCCCTTGCACTTTTTTCAACTTCGGCCAAAAAAATGAAATTGCTTCAAATTTGCTGGAAAGATGCCTTAAGGGCACTAGGACACAGTCCAAATCGATTTCTGGACAGATGTCCTATTTAAAAGGAAACTCCGTCGAAAATTTTAGGTTAAATCACTGAAAAATTAATGTGTTTTTTTCCCAATCAATGGATGATTTTTGCCCAAATCTTCAAAATTTGTGAGTGTTATAGAGTATTGATTGATGTTCCTCTTGCATCCTGATGAATTTTTGGGGAAAAACACATTTTTGGCCGAATTTGACTAAAAAATGTAAGGTTAACCTCTTGCATTTTTTTCAAACAAACTATCTAAAAAATTAAGTTATACATTAAATTGAACGATTGCCAGGTGATTTATCATGAAAAATAGACAAACTAGACAGAAGATTTAGACAAAATATTGTTTTTCTCTCCCTCAACAGTGTCTTGTGTAAACGCGGAGAAAAACTGGAAAATTGTCTGTTTGGACTGGGACTGCACTCTCGCCAAGTTTTTCTCCGTAATGCATAACTTAATGTTTGAGATAGTTTGTCGTCCATGACTATCGTTTCCGAGCAAAAAGTGTGGAAAAAGGTCTGTTTGGACTGGGAGCCTGCTCTCGCCCAGTTTTTCTCCGTGACGTGTTGACACAAGTCACTGTTGAGGGAGCGGAAAACAATATTTTGTCTAAATCTTGTGACTAGTTTGTCTACGTTTCATGATAAATCACCTGGCCACAGTTCAACTTAATGCATAACTTAATTTTTGAGATAATTTGTCGACTATGACTATCGTTTCCTAGCAAAAAGTGTGGAAAAAGGTCTGTTTGGAATAGGACTGCACTCTCGCCGAGTAAGGCTAACCACTTGCAATTTTTTTCAATTTTGTCCGAAAAATGAAATTGTTTGAAACTTGCAGGGAAGATGCCTGAGGGTCCCTAGAGCACATTCGATCTAGCATTTCAAACAGATTTGGCGTTTAAAGGAAAAGTAGCGTCGATAATTTCAGTCAAAATTAGTGAAAATTATTAATATTTTTCTCAATAATATCGGTGATTTTTGTCAAAATCTTCAATATCTTAACTGTTTGAAGGTCGGCTGATGTTTCTCTTGCATCCAAAGACATTTCTGAGTTGTTTGGAGAAAAGTCAATTTTTGGCCAAATTTGATCAAAAAGTAAGGCTAACCCCTTGCAATTTTTTTCAATTTTGGCCGAAAAATGAAATTGCTTGAAACTTGCAGGGAAGATGCCTGAGGGTCCCTTGAGCAGATTCGATCTGGACTTTTGAACAGATTTGGCGTTTGAAGGAAAATTAAAGTCTATAATTTCGGTCAAAATTAGTGAAAATTATGAATATTTTTCTCAATAAGTCGGTGATTTTTGCCCAAATCTTCAATATGTTAACTGTTTGAAGGTCGATTGTTGTTTCTATAACATCCAAAGACATTTCTGAGTTGTTTGGAGAAAAGTCAATTTTTGGCCAAATTTCATCAAAAAGTAAGGCTAACCCCTTGCAATTTTTTTCAATTTTGGCCGAAAAATGAAATTGCTTGAAACTTGCAGGGAAGATGCCTGAGGGTCCCTTGAGCAGATTCGATCTGGACTTTTGAACAGATTTGGCGTTTGAAGGAAAATTAAAGTCTATAATTTCGGTCAAAATTAGTGAAAATTATGAATATTTTTCTCAATAAGTCGGTGATTTTTGCCCAAATCTTCAATATGTTAACTGTTTGAAGGTCGATTGTTGTTTCTATAACATCCAAAGACATTTCTGAGTTGTTTGGAGAAAAGTCAATTTTTGGCCAAATTTCATCAAAAAGTAAGGCTAACCCCTTGCAATTTTTTTCAATTTTGGCCGAAAAATGAAATCGCTTGAAACTTGCAGGGAAGATGCCTGAGGGTCCCTAGAGGACATTCGAACTGGAATTTTGAACAGATCTGGCGGTTTAAGGAAAATTAGAGTCTATAATTTCGGTCAAAATTAGTGAAAATTATGAATATTTTTCTCAATAAGTCGGTGATTTTTGCCCAAATCTTCAATATGTTAACTGTTTGAAGGTCGATTGTTGTTTCTATAACATCCAAAGACATTTCTGAGTTGTTTGGAGAAAAGTCAATTTTTGGCCAAATTTCATCAAAAAGTAAGGCTAACCCCTTGCAATTTTTTTCAATTTTGGCCGAAAAATGAAATCGCTTGAAACTTGCAGGGAAGATGCCTGAGGGTCCCTAGAGCACATTCGAACTGGAATTTTGAACAGATCTGGCGGTTTAAGGAAAATTAGAGTCTATAATTTCGGTCAAAATTAGTGAAAATTATGAATATTTTTCTCAATAAGTCAGTGATTTTTGCCCAAATCTTCAATATGTTAACTGTTTGAAGGTCGAATGTTGTTTCTATTACATCCAAAAACATTCCTGAGTTGTTTGGAGAAAAGTCAATTTTTGGCCAAATTTGATCAAAAAGTAAGGCTAACCCCTTGCAATTTTTTTCAATTTTGGCCGAAAAATGAAATTGCTTGAAACTTGCAGGGAAGATGCCTGAGGGTCCCTTGAGCAGATTCGATCTGGACTTTTGAACAGATTTGGCGTTTGAAGGAAAATTAAAGTCTATAATTTCGGTCAAAATTAGTGAAAATTATGAATATTTTTCTCAATAAGTCGGTGATTTTTTGCCCAAATCTTCAATATGTTAACTGTTTGAAGGTCGAATGTTGTTTCTATTACATCCAAAAACATTCCTGAGTTGTTTGGAGAAAAGTCAATTTTTGGCCAAATTTGATCAAAAAGTAAGGCTAACCCCTTGCAATTTTTTTCAATTTTGGCCGAAAAATGAAATTGCTTGAAACTTGCAGGGAA